ACAGAAAAATGTAAAGCGTATCTTAGCATAGGCCTAATCTGAGCCAATTTCTTAATTCCTTTCAGAACTATTCAACAGCAAATGCGATCATCATACTCCAAGCAAGAGTTCAGCCATGCAAGATACCCCCTTTGGCTCCGGTCTGATAAAAAGGGGTGTGAATTCTGTTACAATCATATCGCTTGGCGACATGGCGAGAAGACGGCGACAATCGTCGTCAATACATTGGCAAACATTGCATTCGACAGGTGTTAATTTGTCGCCCTACAGGCGCATCATTATCACGCAATGCAAGAACAGGCATGACCAGACGCATGAACCCGAAATGCAATATCGTCGTGGGAATTAGCAGGTTGTTCCTGGCATCAACCTTGTTTCTTCTTCTTCTATAACCCGTTTTGGCTGGATGCAGTGGACAAGGAAATAAAATTAGATATTAATCCCCTCCCTCGCTTATCAACTGTAATAGATCATGTTCTTTAGATTCAATAATTGTGGCACTTACTATTTCGCGATTCTTTAAAGCTTCGTCATTACTTTGAAAAAGGCACGATAGAATCATTCAACCAAACCTGATCTTTACTATTTTTTTTATTCTACATTCTTCTTTAAACATCTTTGATTTCAAAATAAGTGCGCGTGCAAGAATATGATTGTTAACAAGGGCTCAAGTATTGAAGAAAAAACACGAGAACAATGTAAGGTAAAACGATCAAAAACTTCAAGACTGTTCAATGCAATTCTGAAAGTCTTTCACCATGCCACATGGTATTAAAAGGTTGCTCTAAACAGAACATCGTCAGTTATCAACAATCTGTATTACAACAGATCGGCCAAAGTCCAGATCTATAACGTTACAACTCTTTAACGCATAATATTTTAACAAGCTTTAGAAGGATGCTTTAAACAAATGATAAAAGTTGAATGGTATTATTAAGTGCTTGTTAATATTGCGTCCAAACAAGGTGTTTACATTCAAGAAATAAACTCACCTCGAAATTCCTTTTAGAATTCCCAGTCAACGCATTCGTTCCTCTAGAGCTTCCCTGTTTACAAAATTCTGTGCGTTAACAACAGCAGGGATAAACTGAACTTTTAAAGAGTTTGAACAGTTTGATTTTATGGTTCTCTGTCAGAATCTATTCTATCCGTGCTTCAATTATTTGCAGTATTGTTCTTTTTAAATCTCATTCACAAAGGCAGATGAGAATGCCGTTGTTGTAATTTCCCAATTCATAAAAGACTGGAATGATTTGTGAGTCATGCAGCAGAGAGCAATGTGAATACCAAAATGAAAGGACGGGGGGGAAATCACAGGTATTTCAAAAGAAAACAATATTGAGGCTGTAAACAACGAGCTTCGAAATTTATTAAATCATTTGAAATAGTTAACACAATATCCAGAAAGTCGTCAAGAAGGGGCGGTTACTTTTGGTAGAAAGCCGGGGGAGACTCGCTATCAAATCGATAATTATCCTCCGCAGAAGCATACTAGGTACACCTACAATTTTTTCTTTTCAAAAGAGTTTCTCGGATTAGTTGGTGCTTTTTTGGAATTTCATTTTTCGATAGCAAATTTCTTTAAAAATCTCAACCTTATCAATCTTATCATGTCCAAATTAATAATCTTATCATAATTCAGTTTTCGGGTATAACAGAACTTGCTTTCTTGTGACCTTTTTATTATTCTTCTTTTATCAATTGTCTTTACTGTTCTGTTATGTACAATTCAAACTAAATTCTATGAATAATGCTATTAAGTACGTCAAACAGTGCACGTGACTCGATAGCTCATCATGAGATTTTTCATGTTTTCCTCAGCATAATAAAAACCAATTGATTTTCTGGTCTTACTTATTGTTCTAATTTTAAATTTCTAAAATTTGTATTTTAAGTCAGTATATTGTGATTAATTTGTTTGCTTGCTAAAAAATATTTCGAGTTTGAGTTTGGAGTTTTGGCAAAAAGAGTTCTGTAAATAATGCTAGAAGTAGAGTTCTTAAGTGACGACGTCACAAATACCTTTTTATGTAGCCAGAGATTGAAGCCATGAAATTCATTCAAGCATGATTAATTTCAAATTCTAACGTTTGAATAACGATTGATGTTGCTTTGAAATAATCTTGCAGGAGACATTTTACTTTGAAATTAACGATTACTTAGCAATGGAATTCAAACGATTGACTACACATGAATTTACGAGTACCGAATTTATTCGATTACAAGCCATCCTCCATTATTAGCCGCAGCGAATTTGGTTGTTGGGAAATGTAAACCCCCTTTTTACAAGCCCCCTTGATTGAAAGCCGCAGGAAATTGGGTTGATAAAAATTTATTTCGCCTTTAATTATAAGCCGTACCCACAAAATAGTGCATAGATACTTGGTTTGAAATTGAAATTGAAATGATGGAATCAAAAACCGGTAAAAACCTGATTGTGTACCAAAAAACTAGATCTTAGAAGTTGAACCAACAACGAAACACCAGCACAGGATCATCATTGGTAGCTGGGAGTATTTCTTCTTAATCTTCGGAATTATCACCCTTGGCTATGTGGTTTGGAAGTCAGGATAAGCTAGATAAAATTAACGAGAGGGCATTAAGACTAGCCTATTCGGACTATTCATCTTCTCACAAAGACTTACTTGCTAACTCAAAAGAAACTACCATACATGTCCAATCAGATAGAATTTTAGCGCTCGAAGTTTATAAAACACTTAACAACCTCAATCCTGTTTTCATGAAAGACTATTTTGTACCCAAAACAAAACAACAGGTCATAACCTTCGACTCAAAAACCCCCTTGACATTCCAAAAGCCAGAACTACCAATAATGGTATCAGATCATGACGTTTTCAAGGGCCTAAAACCTGGAATTCACTCCCGGGATCAATAAAGACAGCACAAAATACTAGAAAATTCAAAGATTTTATCAAAACTTGGTTCCTTGAAAACAATTGCGCATGCTCATTTTGCAGTAAATGAACTGTCTTATGCAATCCTTGAAATTGCCTAATGTTATTCTTAATTAGTGTATATTCACTATTGTAGAAACTAGCATTAAATAATGTACAATACAATACAAATACAAATACAATACAATACAATACAATACAATACAATACAATACAAATACATTCTACAATCCCGGAAAAAAAATGGTTGAGATTTTTCAAGAAAACTTTATGTTTTCTCTTTCCTTTGAAAAATAGCTTCGCCCCTCCCCCAATTCAATGTTGAATGCATGATTCTGAAGAAGAAATGATAAAACTACAAATCCAACATTGCTTCGGGAGGAAAGGGGGGTATTCGAATTTAAAAGAGCAAGTTAAAGTAGAAAATTACAAAAATTGCATTTTGTCTCAACATTTTTATTTGTCCGGGATTGTAGATACGAATTTCCAGATTTCAGTCTTTCGTGATGTTGGGCATTTGTGTATATGAGAAAACGAAAATTTTAATTTTAAGTTATTGACCTTGAAGGGTATAATCTGCTCTGTTCTGTTAAAATGAGAACAATCTTTGAACTGAATTGTTTTTATTTTCTAAATTTTCACCTGAGGTTGCAGCTGAGCATGTTTTTAGGTTTGATTGCATTCTGGATTTCCCCTTCAGTGTAGCTTAAATTCATCTATTTGTGCAAAAAAATTGTACTTTTTTAAGTATAATTTTGTTACTTTTAATTAATTCGATTTTAAAACGGAATTCATTACTTTATGAGGCCTTCTAGACCCTAGAGCAATTTGTCTCCTTGCCCCGCCCTCTCTCTCTCTTTCTTTTCGGCCCTGCTCACATGAAAACATTATATTGACGACTTGAAAGTCGACAGCAAAGAAATAAGGAAAGGTAGCTTACTAGCCAAAGGGTACCTCAAATTCTACAAAAAAACCGAATGAAAATCATGGTGCATCATAAATATTTATTTACCAGTCACAATGAACCAATATATAGAGCTACAAACTCTGAACACACTTCAAATTCTATGAAATAAACTTTTGTACGAATATGGTCTTTTCCAACCTCAATTACAATATCTTAAAAAATCTCTTCTTATCAGAATGCCTAAGCTTATACCGAGGTAATGCGCGAAGAGGGCTTTTCAGATATGCTCAACTGTTTCTCCGTACATGTCAGTCTTCGCCAAGCTTAAGGGTTTCTAGCTGGCTAAAATTGAATTTTTACGTTAATATTTTTTCTTTTATAGAAGACGGGTGCACATGCTGTAACCACGTGTCACGTCCTTGAACCGTAAGTAGCTACTAGTATATTGCCGAAAGTTATGTCTGAGTTACCTTACGAAGGAGTGCTGCCTCTTTCTTGCCCTTTAGAACTCTCCCACATCAAATATCAAAATCCAGAAATTTATTTTTGAAATAATCCTGTGAAGACAAATTTGATGATTTGTCGCAAGAGCCATTGTTTGACATATTGGGACAAATATTTTGAAAATGTAGCCAACTGATTCATTTTGGCACATTTCTTAAGTAACACAATAATATAGAATTCTCGTGATTTCAGGGCTTTGATTCATTTGGTTCGAAAAGTAGAGTTAGTTTCTATTTGAAAGACTTTTATAAGTTAAATGAACCGGGTGGATCCCGAAAATTGCATCAAAATGTTGTGAAGTTGTGTTGTGAATAGCTACTTTGAAAAGATAACGTTTAAATGGAAATTATTGCTATGGTAACCAGTGATTTTAATTGTTGTCCAAATTTGGTCATGTGGTACAAATATTATTGGCACCCAATTTAGAATTTAAATTTAGAATGATGATAGCCAAGAACTTTTATCAAACAAAAATTCAGTAAGAGAAAATTGCTCATTCATAAGCATTGAGCTATCAAATGTAAGCTGATATCTGGTTGAATTTTTGTTATTCGTTGGCTTTCTTTTAAAATTAGGCAAAGTCAATAGAAAAGTTCTGAAGATTGTTTTTATGACGTCACCACTCCCCTATCGTGAACAACAACAACATCATTCTGTGATAGGGACATATCTGATACGAGGCTGATGCCGAAAATACAGTTTTGTTATAAGTTTGGACGAAATATAACTTCCTGGCTTTGAATCCGATTACGTATCTTTGTAACTTATGCTGCAAGTTACATAAATTGCTCAAGGTAAGATGGACTGTAATGATGGTGAGAAACGCCCGAAACGTCAGTTTCATATCTTCAAACGATATTTCAGCAGCATGCACGTGAAATTAGAATTTAAATTAGGTATACCCTGCATATTTATTGCTGGGAGAGAAAAATGTTGGATATAGTGGATTGATTAAATGTTCTGCTCTGTCGACCAATGAATATGTTCAGAGATCCTTTTTTAAAGGAATACAGACATTTTTGCTTAGCCTCAATATTCTTAATTTTTTTATTATATGAGCCTAAGATTATATGCTTAAATTATTCTTAAGCGACAAGGTATAACCGGGTTGCATTAAAGTTTTATTGACTCCAAGGCCAGATACGTCTATTTCAAGACATATAGCGTGAAACTTGCATTTGTTTTGCTTTCCAAAAAAACTCAAATAAACAAAGTATTTAATTCTTGGTGAAGCCTTGCATAATTCTTCAAAGGTATTTGACATGCATAAGTACAGCGAATCCAAAAATAACTCGATCAGAGCATGTGTGTTTGAAAGGAATGTGAAACTTCTCACAGGAAACCACTCTGTGGCAGAGACTGTTCACAGGTTTTTCTCTGTGTGCAATTCAATTGGTCAACTACTGAGGGTCAAGTGGCTGTAAGCCACTTTTACCTGTGTCAAATGCCTTTAATTTTTCTTAAATTGCAATGATTTTGAGCCTTTATATTCTTATAGACTATATTCTCATAACAAAAGGTGCACTTCAAAACATTTTTTACAATTTTTGAATGTTATAATGTTTTCTTGACAGGATGACATACCTGAAAGCAGTGCTGGGTATCATATTGCTACTGGCATTCATAATATTCATGAGGCCACTACTATTCAAGTACTTTGCTTCATACACTATGATGATAATAAACATGGTGTACAATGACTATGACAGACACCTCAATGCAATAGAAATTCAACATGAATCAGCCTGGCGTTTGCATAAGTTTGAGATGCAGTTTAATAAGCAAGTTTGCAAGGATAAACCCCCATCAAGGGGACCAGTTTCTTGGCTAACTGCAATGACAAATGATGATTTTGTTATTGGAGCTGTTTTGAATGCATACATGATTAAGTATCTTTCTTGTGAACAAAAATTGATAGCTCTAGTATCGAATGGTGTAACAGAGGCAGGCAGAAATGCTCTTTCTAAAGCAGGTTATGACGTCAAAGTTGTTGAGCCCTTAGACTGTAACTGGATGGATAGGAAAAAAGGGAGGAAAGAACAAAATCTTGGGATTATTGGCACACATATGCGTTTTCATGCCTGGAACTACACAAAGTTTAATCGAATCATATATTTTGATGCTGATATATTACCATTGACAAGCATAGATGAACTGTTTGATTTAGATACAGATCTTGGAGCTGCATACTGTGGCAAACCTGGTGTGCTTGACCCTTGTTTTAATGCCGGAATCCTTGTTTTCAAACCATCTAGTAAATACTACCAGGAAATAATGGACATGTGGTCTAAATTGTCAGACAATGGTTGTCCAAATGACCAAGTTCTTTTATGGCATTATTATGCAGACAATGGCCGTTGGACTCCAATACCTTATGCTTATAATGTACGAAGAGAAATATACCACCCATTGAAGGTGTATCATTTTGCTTGCTGTTTGACACCTAAAGCATGGAGAGTTTTAAATCCACCTACAAAGATACAGTTAGACAGTTTTGAAGGACCAATCAAAGAACCAATGCAAATGGTTCTATTGTGGTGGAAATACTTCTTAAGAGCTCTGGACGAGTTTGATCTCCATTCATGGTGGAAAGTAGCTAGTCTGTCTATTAGGCGTAAAGATCACTGATATATTGCTCAAACAGTTTTACTTTCCGTTGTATGGTGGGGTTCAAACCCCAAAGATGCTTACTACAAAACTTTGAGACAGGAAGAAATTTAACAATTCTCAGTTATTTGTCAATGTATTTATAGGTTTTATTACTTGAAGATGCAAATTACTAGGGATTTTGCTGTAGTAAATCATTTTTGTTTGGAGACTTTAAATTTTGCCAAAAACAACAAATTTTCACCTTGAACAGCTCTTATGTATAGGCAAAATAGCGGCTTTTTTTGTCTTCATTTCTTATGGCATAGATTTGTAAAGATTCTGTTTCTGCAATTGTAATTTAATCATAACAAATTGATGATTATTATGAATCAATAAATAAACTGTAAAAGGTGTTTATTTCTTAAAGTTGCAGTCTTTTGTAGAGGTCTGGAGAAATTAATTGTAGAGAAATTTGTTATTTGAAAAATGACGCCAATTTTCTTTCAAGCAGTTTTTCAAGTCAATTATTTCGATTGCAAAGATCGTTTAAGACTGCATTCCCCCCAGTAGTTAGGTTGATAAAGCACGGCCAAAACATCATAAAACAGCTTGTTTTGTTGCCTTGTTTTCCTGCATGGCTTTGCTTTGAGAAGACAGAAATAAAGTGGAGATTTTTTATTTACTCTTGACATTGCACCAGGTTACTTATTTCTAAATTCTGAACATTCACTGTTCTAGTATGGAAAGGTAATGTGTCCATATAAAACCGGCTGCATATACCCAACTTGTCAAGTAACATCAAAATAACAGCTTGCGATTGGTAAGTTGTGTTGCAATTTAAAAGTGGTCACATGAAAAGCTATCCTTGCAGCAGTGTAGATGAACAGAACAACCATGATGGCTGGAGCAATGACATGATAAATCACGTTTTGGGAAACCCCTGCAGAGTTGCTTGCTTTACCTTTAAGCTGGACACATTGCCTTCAAGATTCTCATATCTCAAATCTTTGGGCTGTTCTTATCTTGCATTTCTTGTTGCTGTTTACTGCACAAAGTATACAGCTTTTGTTATCTTGCTGTATTTCAATTAAAATGTAATATCTCTTTGAAGGAACTCTTACTCAACAAGCATTGCTTTGCTTGAGTTAAATTTTCCGCAACCTTTAAAGTTGAGTTACAGTACATGCTAGTACAGTACATTGCTTTTAGTGTCAAATAAAATGTTGCTTAAAAAGATGACTGTCAACATGGCTCTATTGAAAGTTTGGTACATTAGTGTTGTGTTGTGTTGTGTTGTATAAGTATTTGATGTTGAATTGAATTATCATTTTTGGGGATTTCAATTGTTTGGTTCATTTCATTCATTTTTAATCTTTTTTGTTTGGTAACAGTAAACATTATTTACAGTCACGGAGAAATTTTAATATCTAAGATAACACCCAGACAGTAAGAGTGCTTTCCAATTACTGATACTGAATCATTTCTAATGAAAATAACAAATACATTTGGGCAATAAGGCATAAAAACCTTGTCAACAAATTAATTATAAACCAAATACCCCATCAATATCAAATATCTACAATAAATGCAATGGTACCACTTATGAATTTAAATAGATACATAAATCTTTAAATTGTGGTTTAACTATAATATTGCTGAATACTATGAAAAATTATCCAGACTTAAATAATAACACCTGCATACAAATTCACTAGTATACCAAGCTAGCAAATGATTAACTAAAATAAATTATGCCTATCTCAGGCCTGACCATAGCACTTTAAGCAGGGGAGCAGTAAATAGCTCTCCTGGTAATTTCCAGGCAAAATTGATTTCAAGGAGAGAGATTTGCTTTCAGAGCAATTTAAAAGAGCTATCTGTAGCTCCCCTCCAGCATTTGAGAGGGACCTGGAGGGGAGGAAGAGCTATGGTTCTCCTCAAATGGTCGGGCCTGCTGTCTGGCTTCTCAACTATTTTTCAGCAAAAATACACAAACAGACATTCTAAAAACTCAGCTTGTAAACAGAAATTACCACCCCAAAGAAATGCTAATCAAAAAGCAGATGCATTGAAATATAGGAAAATTTAATTTGAGTTTCCTTAATTCAATAACCAGAAATGGCGTATTGAATCTCTTGCAAGATCAGATGCAATGAGATGCCTAACACAAACTGACATGTTTTGAGGTAAAACAAATTGAAGCAACTCTCAAATGCCTCATGAAAACACAAGTTTCTTGTTAGGCAAGGATAGATTCATTAAAACTACTCATGGGCTCAATTAAAGCAGAAAAACCAAGCAACCAATAAGAGCATCTAGTGTACTCACAAGCATCAAAGTTTTGCAGATTTTTTCTGACACTAAGAACATTTGTTCTTTTGAAACTTCTCATCACATTGCAGAAAATCTCACAACAACAGACAATATTCTCTTTTAGGCTTAATTTAAAGCATTTGCATCTTTTCAATTGACGTTAAAACTATTTAACAGTAGCCGTTAATGATAAACAACTTTGTCAAGAAGTTTACAGTAAACCCAATGCTCAAAAAGCTTAGTGTCCTGAGGACAACAACAGATAAACATAAACTCTTTCTTGTTGAAAGTTTTCACTTTTCAGTGACAAAAGCCTGTAGTTATAGTGCATTATGATGCACCTAATGAATAGCTGAAACAATGTTCTGTAAATCTTTCGAACAGTTTGAAGTAACATCATGGTTTCTTGAGTCATTCAGTTTATCAACCACTTCAGATGTGAGACTGTTATTTTGATTTCCCAATGAATGTTCGGTAGAATGTCCATTGCCTGTTGCACAGCAAGTATTTTGTTTGATTTTAAAAATGGTCTTTTGGATGATATCAAAGAGGCAGCTTGGTTGCACAAAATCATTGTCAACTAAATTTACAAGACAGTAGTTGCCACATATATCATCAATAACTTTTCTTGACTGTGAGCCCTCTGGGTATAGATTTGCCCAGTGCTGTTGCCACAGAGAAAATGCTTCATCCTGTAAAAATAAGTAGATAAACTCAGAATATTAGCAAAAAAACATTGAAAATAAAAAAAATTAACTAGCTTCTACACACTAATTAATCTATTTTAAATGTTAGTTAGATTGTTATATAATTAAAAGATAAAAATCTCTGCAATTCAGTCTTTCTTGGTCAAGCAACTGTGTTTGAAAACATATTTAACCTGACAAACTATAAGGACTGTTTATCTAAGGGAATTGCATTTTGAACCATCTGCTGTCATGAGAGGCCCACATTGCCAGGTGTCAATGACCAACAATGATCCACCCTAATAGCTGAAGATATTGAGGAGTCATAAATGTAACAAAATAAGCAGTCAATTTTCAAAATCTTCAGAAGGAACTTTTAGTGTAACAAGCAAAATTTTAAGAGAAATATTGACTAACCTTCCAGAAGTTGAAGCTCACAGGATCAACAACAGTTGGTTGCATTATTTCCTTGCCAGGGAAAACACCCCATGTCACAGCAATAGGGGAATACCGGTCACAGTTGGTGTTATCCAGTCCACCCTGCAACAAAATACCTCTACCTAAGTATTCATGCTTCCTACAGTTGACAGTACACTTGCCAGGTTAGGGAAAATAACACAAGTTATCAAGCAGCAATTTTTTTCATCTAGAAGATACACTGAGGGTAACGAACAGCTCAATTTTCAGGGCTCAATATACAAAATCTGTATTTCCTATTAGGGATCTTATTTGAAATAATATATCTACAAAGATACATTCACTTTGATATCTGGATTTCTGAAAAAAACTGCAAACACACCTCCTGATTTAACAGCAAGCTGTGCGTACAGAAGAATATTTTCTAAATTCAAACCTCTCTTAATGATAACATATATATTCACCATTCATACCTCTTCATCAACTATGTGATAATTGACATGTGGATATTCCTTCAAAACATCCAACAAGAAGGCAATGTTTTCTTTGCTTGTGAAGAATTCCAGGTAAGCCTAGAAATTTAACAATACCAGCATAAATATACAAAACAACTTTAGGGAAAAAGCATACTGGTTCCTTTAGAAAGAGCAGGTCATTATGTTATTTAAAATTATAAAAAATATTTAACAAACATCCTAGATGCATGCATTTTGAAGACCTCTGAATTCTGCTTGTGCCTTTTAGAATATAGTGGTTCGAGGCACCTAACCTGCTGCTTATAGAAAAAGAAGTATTTTTGTGACATAATGACACATTCTGCATATGGGAATAGTTCTTGAGGTCTGAATGTCTATAGAGATGTTTACATTGATGGTATGGAATGCAAATCATTAAATACAAATTCTTTATAGGTTGAACATAAACCTTTAACATATATATGAAAATATACCTTTTGGTATATGTAACCACCAGCACCTCCCCATCCAACAATAGGATCAGAAGAGTTCGCTGCATTGACATTAGGCTGACTGTTAATTGTAAGAAAACCAGCCTTGTTTACTCCTGCCAACTCTGACACCAACAAGGATGTCTCTGGTGCCAAATCTTCATCATTCCATGGTAACGACTTAACCTAGTTGAGAAAATCATTCATTAAAGTTGGATAAAAAACATATATAATTATCACAAAATTACACATTATGTTATGTGTACTGCCATACACACTGCTAGAATAAAAAGTGACTAAGGATGCCTGTGCCATGGGGGCAGCAGGGACAGTGGCCCCTTGCCCTCATGAAATTGGGCATTTTTCGCTGTTTTGCTACTGTTTTGCACTTTTCTTGGTGCTTTGCCCCAATTTCCCTTTTTGAGTGCAGGGCCCTCTGAAAGCAACTATATATTGGGAAAATATTAATAGAATATAAGTTCAGCTAAAGTCCAACTCTTCTAATTCCTGCCCCAATTGCATTTAATGCTAAACAATGTGAAAAATGAAATACAAGACAAACCTGGTTCCCAGCTTTGTTTTTATTGCCACTTATGTAGCATGAAAATATATCCCAAACATCTTCAACTGAATGCAGTTCTTCACCCCACATTTTCCTCAGATCAGCCTTATTTTTAGGACTTCGCAGATAAAATAAATGATGGTCAGTCAGCTCATTAAATGATGGGGCTGAAGAATTTCCCCATCTCCCATTAGGGTATTCATCCCAATCAGATGTTCTATATATATAGCTTTTTGGTCGAGTGGCCCAAAATATTGGCCGTACATCTTCTGAGAAGCGTTTTATGTTTGCAGATGTCTTCCAGGGTAACGCCCTGTTGTTGACATCTTCAATCCATAAACGAAGTTTCTGAGCAATTTCCTTTGTTGCAAGCTCTCTATTCAAAGTGTAGAAGTGTAGCCCAGGGACCTGTGAAATCAAAATAAAATTCAAATTATATACAAATTTCTAATTTAGTTTTTAAGATTTTGCTATCAAATTGAGTAATCATGCATAACTATCAAGCTTATATCCAAATCCTTTACAAAAATGGAACAGCCTTGCTTTTAAGACCAAGTAATTAAATTCTATCACCTGCCCTACTCAGAAGTATGTTAATGGAGTTCATGATCTATAAGTGCATTCTAAATTCTATTAAGGTGTATATATTCCAGGGGAGCCACCTACATAAAATTTGAGTAAAGTCTAGTATTGTTATTTGTTAATGTAGATGGGTAGCCTATAAAACTCCTAAAGACATTATCATAACCCTGCTCTTGATTAATAGTACATTTTTAGATTATGAATAGAAAAGATTATAATTTAACAGTCCTAGTTGTTGAATGCATGCAATCAAATGAGAGCAAATAATGGAGCAAATAATAGGAGCAATTGATCGCATGCATGATCAGATATTTGACCATTGCCTTTTAACCCTTCTTTGACTGTATTTTTTTTGGTTCCGTATTCAATATCAAACATTGGGGAATGCACTGTTAAAAGCGGATGGTCCTGGGCCACGGCATTGTGTGGTAGGGTGGCCAGTTCCTTTCCATGCCGCTTTTACCTCCCTAGTATGTTTCAACTAGGTACTCATTTTCAGTCGAGTGAACTGAGGGCCGTCTGCGAGCCGGGATCGAGCCCGGAGTTCTGGCATGGCAGTCCAGCACCTTGACCTCTCGGCTACCACGGGACCTTTGACTGTATTACTTCATCAAAATATTGAAAGTTTTGGTTCTAGAAGCAGGGAAGCATTGGCTTACTCTTACAATAGAGCATCTTGTCTTCACATAGTGATGTGCTAGTAACTATTGCTTTACAGAGTTTGCTATTGATTGGCTTTGTTGAAATTCCCTTAATGAAAAAAGCTGGCTTGCAACAACACTAAACAATTCTGCTTCCCCGTCTTGCACAAACTAACAAACTGTGTTAGTTCATTTCACTTTTGTTCTAGTCACTTTCATTCATTTCCCTTGTGATTCATCAAAACAGCAACAAGTAAAGGTAACAAAAAAGAGCTGCTAACCACAGTAGAGATCATCCTTGACTTACGTTACTCAATACTAACGTTAATGTCCTTATCAATACTATTTTTTGATACAAAGAATGAAAAAATTACAAAGGCATTTAAGCTATCAGAAAGTTTAGTAATGATAATGGTGATGATAATCTTTCTCTGTTGAAATGATTCATGGTTAAAGTTTGTGTTTGCAGTTAAAAGTTTCTTGACATTCAGTGATAAGCCCAGTCCAAAACTATGCACATCAGAATCTTAACAAACACACAAGACTATTTTTAATACCAATCAGAGTCTCAAATTGGTGCAAAATCAGGGTTCCAAGATATTTGAAATGGTTGGCAACCAAAATTTGAAAACTTCTACCAGCCAAACAAGATATTAAGATTCAGCATAATTTCGACTAATTGTGTGGAATAGTAAATGATAAAAATTGGTTTTACACATCAAATTAACATACATTTGGATATTTTCTCCATTGTCTGTTATATTTTGTTTTGTTTCATATTTCGTTGCCACTGAAAATTATTGAGATTTTTTGGAATATTGCCATGCATTATATTTGTAAAAATTGTTTTGCTTTGCATTTTTTGTTTAGTTTTGCTTTGTTGTTCACTTGGGGCCAAATGTCAGCCAACTGCTGCTTTTCAGCCAAATCAAATTTCGACAGACATGGGCCTTGAAAAAGACTTGAATGGAGGGATTGGGCATTCAAAACAACCAAATGGCAGTCTAGACTTCAATGGGAACCAAGATCAAAATGTGAAGAAAATTTGCAAGAGGGACAAAATAATGAGTTAACACTGATGTTCTGAAATAAAAGCATAATTATATACATTGTAATTGAAGTTGCATAGTATTTTTGTAAACTCTTTATTAAACTAGAAACTTGAATGAAACTAGATAGGTAAGAGTGTAAATCACATGCATGAAATACGTTATGTGTCTGATTTTTCATGTGTGTGATTTATAACACACCTTTAAATTCTTTTTTTGACAAAGACTGACTTAAAATTGGCAAACATATAGGAGAATTGTGAATGCATACCTCTCCAGATGCAAGCAGTTCCTTACACATGTTGACTGCATGTTGGACTCCATATTTACGAATTGCATCATCATTGTCCTTAATTGGCTCTAAATCTTTAAGAAGTTTCTCTGGAATTTCCAATTTTGACAATTTTGCAAGCTGCCTCAAAGATCCATAAGCCTAAAAGTTCAAGTTTCATAGAGATCAATTTTTAAAAAACACAATGTAAATATTGAGATTACTATATTAAGTTGAGTGTTTAACTGAAAAATTATATACTCGTGTTGTAGAATTATTCCAACATTGGCATTTAGAATAAATATGGAAAAAATTGTCAATTATTGTTCATTGTAATCTTCATGATCCCCCAAATGAATGAGCACAAAAATGTCCACTACTTGGTGTGAACTGACCTGTGTCAAATTCAACTATTTCTAAGATATGCTGACTTTTCATGTCTAGACAGAAATCCTAGCATTTTGTATGCCATAACAGAAACTGCCTAAAAATGTCAATTCTAACCACTAAATATCTACCTGAATTGGCATTATTCCAGGGATGATTGGAACTTTGATACCAATCTTTTTGCAATCTTTAACAAATTTTAAGAAATCCTTTGATTCAAAGAACAACTGTGTGATGACAAAGTCAGCTCCTGCATCAATTTTTTTCTTAAGATGCAAGAGATCTTCTTCATAAGAAGTGCAGTCTGGGTGTCCTTTAGGGTATCCTGCAGAAAATTTGTTTTTCGATAAATTTCAAATATATATATGGTCAACAGAAATTACAATAAAAAAAATCAAATCAACCATATAGGCAGAGGAAATGTACCTTACAAGGTAATAATCATATACCAGAAAAGGTGTTCAAGTCCCATTTATACACCAGTGGGGAGTAGAGGCATGTTCAAATTATCAGAATACCAGCTGACTATAGTTACTTGGTATGCCTTCAACAGGTAAACTTGATATGAAAGATATACAGGAACAAAGCAATACGACGACGAGAATATACTAATATTTCCCCCCGGCATAAAGGGCTTCATCAGCGGTTCTTCCTTCTCACACAATAAACTTGATATGTTTGTAAAAAACATTAAATCTAAAGTGGTCAATTATTCAGAATTGAGCAAGGCAAATAGTTGACTCCTGTCTCATATTGAATGTTTATAGTTAATAAATTGAAAACAGAACATATTACCTGCAACACATATTGTGAAGTAGTCCTGGAAATTCTCACGAATAAGTTTCACCATATCACAGGCATAATTCAGATCCTCATCATATGACTTCCATTCTTCACCATTTACTGGATCTATATAAACATGAACACTGTGTGAAAAATGTGTCTAACCTATCTAGCAACAATCTTAATTCGGATTTCACACAACAATGTCACAAAAATACATAACAAGAATTTATATACTCTCTGGCGCTTTATTAGTGGAGAGGTTTTTATAAAAAGGAGTTTGCACTATCTCACTCAATTGATAAAACATGCTGTTATTTTTTATAGAGTGACATGATGTAGGGATACTATCCTTATTTGCGGAAGGGTCTTAAAAATGGAAGGAAGAATATTTTGCATCCAAAGTGAGAATAACTTGACATGAAAGCTTAAATTTCAATTCTTGTATGTAGAAACCAGCCTTAAATTCAATTGCTCAACCAATTTTCAAAGGTACTGGCTTTGATATGTTTTTGAAATCACTCATCCAATTTCTATACAAGTGTTCCTCTTACCCTGCATAGATTATAATTAGGCCTGCGTTGGGGGGGGGGAGATTAAAAAAAATAAATTAAGTTGAAAAATTGGATTCCCCTGCAATAAGGCAAACGAGTTTGAAGGACTATGTTTAAAGAACTAAACAAAGCAATTAAACAAAGCAATTAAACAAAGCAATTTAAAATAATTTTTCACTATTTCAAAAACAGGGAAAACAAAAAATTTGGTTAGATAAAAAAATCATCTGCTAGCGAAAACATACTTCATCTTCATCACACTTGTTCAAGCACAGGACATCAACAGATAACTGATGCTCGACAGCTTGACTTCTGACGTAAACGAAATTTACAACAAAATCAACTAAAACTAATTATATAACTGTAAACAAAAATAAATTTTACAACCAAATCAACACAATTCCTGTCCACACTCAATATGTAACTTGGGTTCACCCTAGATTTCTGCTAACCTAAGTCAGGTTTTGTGGAATTAACAATTAACTAACCCTGACCAAAATGCAAAGGTGGGGTCGATAAGGAGACTATCAAGCTTGGAGACTGTCAAACCTTTAGATTTAGGGGATATGAAAATACAATTAGTTGAACCCTGTGGCAAAAGACATTTTTCACGCTGACTGTTCGCACTATGAGACTTGAAAATTCAAAGCAGGTAGAACAGGGTTGCCTGAGTTAATCTTAAATTAGGGTGAACCCAAACTTATTTTTGTTATATGAGCAGGGCTTATATAAAACACCAGTGAATAGTTGTGAAGGTGTGGCAAAAAGGCAAGCATAAATAAAGTGTGAAGCATGAAGGTAAAGTCTAAGGTCAAGCTCCCCTACTGCTTACTAACTTTGTTCTTATTAATTGAATTTTTTTCCAAAAACAATTTCAGCTCACAGAAGTCTTTACTCAAATAAAAATAATGGTGTCCACATTGTTTTGTCAATATCAAGCAGTTCAACAATACTTCTGCTTTCAAAATGACCTTTGGTTTCCACATTGTTCTCTGGCAACTTATTGTTGTTAAGTTTTCATTTTGGCCTGTTTTTAAAATTTGTTTTCAAATGCACCTGCACAATGTGCAGAACAATGTGACCAAAGTAATAAACTTAGGTCCTTAAAAGGTTGGTATGACCTGGGTTCTTAAGCCATTAGGTTTCTGAATTTGTCATGATCTTCAGTTTGTGGCAAAAGTACATGAGATAAAATGAATGCCAATGCTGAAGAAATAATGCTGCAAATTGTCAAATGTCAAGCAATTATAGATGGCTTAATTAGCAGCATGACCCTTCAGCTCAGTACGGATCCATTTGTCTGAAAGTGATTGTACTGCCAGAAGCACTCACAAATAAATCTGAGCCGGCACCCAATAAGCAAATAACATGGTTTTTAGGATACACTAAATCTAAGCTTGCCTTTTTTGGGAACTGGATTCATTTCTTTTCCCATCCTATTCATCCCTGACCATAGTGCATTAGAAACTAGTTATCTATAAAAAGATCTCTAAGCTAAAGTAAAGATCGATTTACATGCTGGGATGAAACAAAATACTTCCAAGACAATAAATAAATCATGCCTGGAAGTATTTTCCCACAAACAAAAAATATCTGAAAGTTATCAGGTACTTCATAGTAAATGATGATTGGCTGACAGAAACAGTTGAGTATCACGAGGTCACAATTGTTCCTTTCCTTCAGTATATATACATGTCTAATGAATAAATAAATAAATTATAAATAAACGAAATTAGGTAAATCAATCATCTTCATTCTTACCTCCCCTCAAGGCAAGTATGTTTCGGAGTCCAATATGTTTTGCCTTGTGCAGGTTTTTCAATACCTGTTCTTTTGTCATATTAGCACAGGTCATATGTAGCATTGTCTCTATACCACAGTAGTTAGCTGTTACACCAGCAATAGTTGAAGAACTGGTCTCCTTGTCACCAGCTGGGTCTCCAGCAGGGTGCCAGGTAATGTCACAAAACAAAGGGCTACCTCTACTGAGTCTGTCTATTTTTGACACAAGATTGACAGCACCATTTGGGGTACGAGGTGGAAAGAATTCTAATGAAAAGAAAGGCTCTCCATCTCTTATTCGAGCCTGAATTTTCTCTATCAGTGTTGGGTGCTTGACCAATGCATCACACTGTTTATCACATTTTTCACATCCACTGGACAGTTTATTCGGCTCTGTTAGCAAAGTCTGTACAGGTGGCATTTTGCTTTCTGAAAATTAATCCTAGAAAAGAAACGTTCAGATTGTAGCAAAAACAAAGATTTGAACTCTTTTGCTGGCATGAATTTGTGCAGTATGCAGTACTTTACAATATGCCCATAACTCCAAAGGCAGTACAACAAATTTAAACTTATAAAGATGCCAGTTAATATTCTCCAATCAATCTAATGCTAGAAAATAGTAATAAATATTGTTGGCTAAATGCCTGCCAAAACTACTTTACGAAGAAAAGGATGCTTTTTTATCATTTGCAGTGACACCACTATTCACAAAAAACAATGGAAAGATTACATATGCGACAAAGGCACTTTGAATTTAAACAATAAACATCTTTAAACATCTTCAGTCAACTGGATAATTCACAGACTGCGTATCATTTCTACACATCTTTAGTCAGGCTCAACAGGAAACTTTCCACGTCAAACGCTCCTTGTAATTGACGTCCAAGCACAAATTTTGGGTGTAATTCTCGCTAATATGGGCAGAAAATGGCACGGCCGGAGATTTTTTGTATTTAACGGTGAATTTTACCTTTCAAAATGGCCTAACCATGATACATCATCAGCAGGTAATACAAACAGCGAAGACAATCAAATGATGATAAAACAGTAGTAGTCAAGCAAAATGGTAGAAAATAAGCAATTGGGCCAAATAACCGTGATAAATCTAGAAAAGAACACAATGTAGAAAAACTTACCTCATTCGCTTCGTTCACAACCATCTGTTCTCGAAAAGAACGGCAAAGGATCGATGGTGGTCGATGTTTGTGGTGAAATAGCTAGTTCCCAGTTCCCTTTTTCACGTGATCACTTTGTCGTGTTTTTCTGCGAAGTTCCATATTTGCACTGGGCTGTCTGCTGTGCATGCCGAAATGCACAAAGGAATAGAAATGTGAAATTACTAGTAGACGCTCCTACACAGCCTGCGGATTCCAAAAACCTGAAAAGGTGTTTGGATTTGGAATTTACACTGCAATTGCACAATGCAATTTTAAAAACTCTGCCCATGCCCATATAAACTCATGCACAGTTCAATGTTGTCTACCTGTTCAAAGGTATGACCACATACACAAGGTATGACAACACATAAACAGAGTTCCTTCCGGATTTCCTTCCTCGAGAATGCACTTGTTCAAACGAGTACTGGAAGGTAACTCGTACCCACTTAGGAGGCCTTTGCTTATTGTGTCCACAAGTTCTCCGATGTGTTTGCCTAACCTTGGGGAGGCCAGCAAGAGAAAGTGTGGCAACCTCCCATCATAGAGTCAAAGAGCATGCGATCATTTTTCACAACACACTTTCGATATGCACGTGATATTCATCCTACTCTGATTTCGTTACACTAGATGTAAAATCACTATACAAAAACGTTTCTCAAGATGAGGGAATCACAGCTTCCCTCAATGCCATCTAAAATCATTATAAGGAAACTACCCCGCTTCATATAAATACAACAACTGGTGATATTTATTTTCAAACATAAATGCCTTTACGCTCTCTTTTTATAAGAACAATTTTATACGAACACGGATCTCTAAATTGGTCAAAGGTCAAAAGTTAAGAACAAATTAAGAACAAGCTGAGGCTGAGCTACTGTAAAATGTAACTTTGAACAATATTTCATCTACAAAATGAGAAGCTTTTTGCCATATAGGGGTGCTTCTTCGGAGAACCAAATAAAGGTTGTCTTACCCTCAAAATATTACTGGTTACAATCAGATCAAATCTAGATACAAATCTGCAAAGCTATTTAATTTAGGCCCAACGAACCCTGTTTACAGACCTAAGACTCGGTTTACAGTCACAAGTTTGCAGGCGTTCTATTCTGTGATTTGGTGTGACTATAACAGAAGTATATTACAGTATTTTTGAGGCCCTATAAGGGGGGATGACATTATTTCATTTTTCATGATGTTATCTTACCATTATTTTATATTTCAAAATTATCAAAGCAAAGTATATCGAAATTGTCAAATGGTCCATTCTTATGAAATTTTTTAAGGAGGTGTCAGGACAAATTTGACCGACTCACATACAAAATGGACCGAGTCTTCAAAACCATTCTTTGCAGATAAAAATATTGAAAATGTATAAAGAATTTTTTCAGGAATAGCCAAAGGGTCCCGTACTTGGGTGAAAATAGGGAATTCATTCTCTTTGGAACTGTGGTAATGATTTTGTACTTTTGAGGGGAATCTAAGGACACGGAATGAATCAACGTATTTATTGGCAACAACTGAACAAATGCAAAATATACACAGTGACGTAGTGGAGGGGTAACGAATTGAAAAGTTTCACGTTAATTAAAACCCCGTTAAATTTCTCCGCGTAAATTTCTCATCTGTCACTAAATGTCTGGCGTTAAATAAACGTTCGTTAATTTCATCCCACTTAAATTTTTTATGTAACGTTTTAAAACTACTTAAAATAGCTACATTTTAAGATTATATCTGAAATATATTATTATATCTGGAAAATGAGGATGATAAAAAGCGTCCAAAACGGAAGGACAGGAAAGTGTTCTTTTCACAAGTTCTATTAAGAATAAAACAATTTTTTTAGTTTTAGGCCACAAGAGTAACTAAATGTATTTTTTATAACATTTGAATGTCCTCACTATCAACCATCTCCGCTTGAAATTCCACATCTTCGTCATTATCCTCCTTTTTCTAAATCCCTAGATCTTAATTCTTGTAAAATATTTTTCGAGTCATCAGCATTTTTTTCGTTCAGAGAATACTAGGCCTCTTTCACTTTAGCCACTACAATTTTTCAAGCTCATCCAACGTGACATATACCTTTATTAGAATCTCCAATCCACCTTGACCCGAAGTTTTTCTGTTATTTTCTTTTTCCTTTTTATGTACTTAAGTTGAATGTGTTTCAGTAGAAAAAGGTTTTGCTGACATTGAAATGCTGATGATTCGTTTTGCTGACGATTCGTTTTGCTGACGATTCGTTTTGCTGACGATTCGTTTTGCTGACGATTCGTTTTGCTGACGATTCGTTTTGCTGACGATTCGTTTTGCTGACGATTCGTTTTGCTGACGATTCTTCATACTATAGTCATACTGTTATTCCAAGTCACTTACAGTTCTAAGTAGGTGCACTAGATGGCAAGAAATATTGCTAAAATAAAGTTCATGCGAAGCTAAAACTGAGTGGAATCAACTCTTACAATGTTCTCAAGAAGAAATCATTATAAATTAAATACTACAGATTGACTACATGTTTCTTAAGAGTAGATATTTTAGGTTTCTTTTCAAGGGGACTCATCGAGTTTGAAGAAAAAAAACAGTTTGAGTGGGCCAAAATCTCTTTACGGTTGCGTGTTCGTGGCTTTTCAAAATATTTCCTTATAGTTTGATCTAATATAGCTAATTTGTTTTGCGTCAAATAACCATTTATTATCACTTTTACCGCTTTTCAAGATTAGAAAAATTTTGTGGGGAACATGTCTAGCCTCAGATAAAAAATTGGCGAATGAACAATATCTTTTTGGAAATTTCCTTTCATTTTAACAAAACAGAACAGGTACTACCAGCAGATCAATCCTGCTGGTAGCAAGACTTAAAAGGTTTGCAGGACTGTTGTTTAGTAGTCTTAGAAAGAATTCGTCGTATGCATATGTGGAACAATCAATGTAGACAAAAACATATTACTTTGTTATTATGTAATTAGATGTTATTAGATGTTTTCATCTATTTCGTTGAGATAATATAAGCCAAACCTATTTGTGGTAACTTATTATGCTATTGGTATTTTTTCTAAACGTGAAGTATGAAAAGCCATTCTTTTAAACACCACCTTGGAAATAATGCCCCTAAAAAAGTTGAAAAATTCGAAAGAAAAACCCAGGCGTAGCGTAATATGGTATTTTAACAGCTCTACAGATCCATAGTCACTTTCAAGTCAATGCTGTTATCAAAAAGACTTTATAGACTTCAGTATGGGCGTCAAGACAGGAACTTTGCCCAAGAAAGTAAAAAGTTCAGAAAAATAAAAACGGGGTTTCATGGTGAGATACATGGATTCATGACATTATTTGTTTTTCCCGGATTTTGTTCAGAATTATGTGAAATTATTTTGCAACAAACGCCAGTTTTTAGCCCTTTGAAAGACTTCAGTATAGGGTTAAGACTGGAACCTTGTCCTAGAAAGTTAGAATTTCATGATACCCTCCAAAACATCTGAGATACATTGTTTCATGACATTATTGAAAGTTCCCCATTTTGTTTAGAATTCTAAGAGTTTTTTGGCTACCATTACTTGTTTCTAGCGAAAATTGATATAATTAAGTGACGTCTTTGTATATTATGAAGTTAAATATGTTTTCGATGTTTCAAGCATAACTTTTCATCAGGTGAAAAATAATAGAATGAGTAACGGTTAAAAAGAGAATAAAAGTGTAGAATCGAAAGATTAACCACACCGAACACAGTCGGAATACGATGTAGTCACCTGATCACATCAAGAACACACCTTGAATGTGGGGAATTAGTTAAATGTGTTACAAATTGGCTGAGTTATCTCTTCGTGAGTACAGGTTTCTCCCACATTGCAACTTAAAAGTCCCAAAAACGGGGAAACATTTGCATTATCCGATTTTTATATTATGTTGAAGCCATTCAAAACGAAAAAGAATCCCTTATGTTTGTCCTTCTCATTTCCTCATTATTTCATTTTCTAGATCACTTCCTAGTGACATGTGACGTCATCAGCCTTGCCTACATGTTATGTGGCGTGTGAACGTTTCGCTCGTTGTATCAACTTGAGTAGCTAACATGTCTATATGAAGCTTTGAAGTGTTGAGTTTCTCTTGGTGAAGCCTGTGTAAACCCTCTACACCTTAATCTATACCTTGGTAAAGCAGAAAATTACCCATATCGAAATGTTTTTATTGATATCATAGCTATTAAAAGCTGAATAAAGCACAAGGTTTTAAGAGAGATGAAAATCTGATGCTGTCACCAAAAAGAGATGTAAAGCTTGAAAATATCTGCATATTCTTGCACAGATTGCTAGTGACATTGGAAGAAAATCTGCATCCCTCTGCTCAACATAGTATTGGCGCTGAAAGAAATAACAACATGAAATGAATGAAGAATTAAGAAGCGTAATAAAAGATGTTTGCCGAATTCCGCTAGGCAAAGTAGATAAAAGTCAAGTCATTTTAATTAGCTACTGTGTATTCAGAAAACAAAATATGACAATTTTCCATATTTAACTAATAGACTATTTACTTCCCTGGGTACCAAAGCCTCCTGAAAGCGGGGATAAAGTAAAGTAGACAGATGCAGTGGCAACGAATCGCTCAAAAAATATTTCTGTGACTAGTTTTGACTATAATTCTAGGACCAAATCATGGAGACTCAAGGGTAGCAATTTACTAATAACTAAAACATTACAACAACATTACCACTGACAGTAAAATGGTAAATATCTACCTGGTGGCTATTGCAAAAAAACAAGAAAAAGAGAACAGAATACAAGATACAGAAGATTAACATACACTCTTCTTTCCCTAAAGAACCCTTACTATCAGAGTGTGGGACCCATCACTGGCAAGAAAATGAAAATTTCCCAATTTGTTCCGGTACATAGAATTTTTTGGATATCAAAACTCCAACATTGCTGACAAATTTTCAAGCAAAAACACCAAAAATAGAATGAATCCAGAAAACAAACCCAGTTTCACTATCATGAACAGGTTTCCTTCAATGTCACTTACCAAGATTCCAGGGCCGATTTACACTGTGATTGATGTCTGTTAACAAGATCGCTTGGTTTCATCCGACCAATACACGTTGTGGTTGGGTAGCAGAGATAGGTCGATAAGCTTTTCATGCAGGAATCTGACGGGTTGAACAGCACTTTCTGCATTTCCAACAGATTGTCAATTTCGATAGATGAATGCCTGTCCCATGGTGAAACTTTGTCCATTGGACCCATCTTGCATTGTTTGTTCTCCATGTTTTGAATGGGAGTAGCGCCTGAAAGTTTTGATTAAGTCCCTTCAAACGATTAGCAATCAAGAACATGTTAATGAGCGCATTCACGAAAAAGAAGCTCCATGAGTGTAAATGTGTGCGCAAAACGACTTTAGAAGAAGTAAACTATCACACTAAACTGCTTTGGATAGCGATTCAGACAGGACTTATGGTATCTAAAAAGAGAGTAAAGCACCCACAAAGAATAAACGTCACTTGAGATATGCTTGATCCTAAAGACCATGCTCACTACATCTCTTAACAAATGTTACTTCAGAAAACAGAAGCCTTTAGAAACAGGAACTTTTTCAGGGATGTAGAGAAAAAGGAATTGATCCCAAAAACGGAAGATGTTGACCACCCCTGATATGAAAGGTAGTGCTGTAATCTTTACAAATCAGTTGTACTTTCCAACGTTCAAAGCACTCACATGAATCTAACGGCACTGTCCCATCATTCATCTTCAGACAGAAGTCTATCTTCCTCAATTGATAGCGAACTTTCTGTTGACACTTGTCGATGGCTTTTACACATTCATCTCTTAGTCCATTCCAATGAACTTGTGCTCCTTTGCACTTTGGAAACCTGTCCCTACACAGGAGCTTTCTTAGATCTTCGCGACAGGTTCCCACAGCACCTTCACTTTTGATTGTCATCACATCGAGGTCAGATTCAATGAGTGCCTCGTAGAAAGAGGAGAGGCTCATTTGTACCTAGGAAAAACAGCGTCATTCTTAGCACAAGTCAGTGGAAATCTAGACAAAAAAAATTCTGTCAATCTTGGTTTTGGTTTTATGAATCTATAGAAAATCACCCTATGCGTTATTTCATTTTATTTAAACTAAAGCTAGCAATACATCTTGTATAGGCCTCATCCAAGCCTTGCCTCTATGAGCTATAACCCATGATATAGAGGCGCTTCTATATCATTGGCTTCAAGCTATCGAAAGGTGAGTCACATCTATGACCCATTGGTCTAAAGAAAATTGACGTCGAATATGTAATTGATCATAAAGAAACATCTTAATGAGGTATGGTAGCTTAGCTCCTTCGGCTCATTCCCTGGCTGGTATGAGCCCCGCTGTGCTGCTACATGTTCAGTCTTACTTAGAGGTAGCAAAGGAGGGATTGTCTTGTCTGTAGTCTACATTGGGTTTGCTTTTATTGCACCTAATCGTTTGGAAACTTTAATAACAAATCTAAATCATTTTCCCCGTGGATTTAGTACCATCCTTCTTATTATCGACAATGTTGTCTTGATGCTTTTCAATTCAAAAAATTAACAAGAACAAAAGAAAGATGTGCTTCTGAACTCAGTGAGGATCCAATATGAAATTTCTACCTTGGAGATTGGGTAGTTGACAGAATCAGCACAGAACTTCAGTTTCGGTTGAACACACTGACCATCCTCCTCCTTAGCATGCACAGCTTCAGATGGATTCAGCTCCTGTAGTAAAAATTGGTTAGTAAATATTCACGACTTTGATGAATTACCAATAGGTAGACTCAAGCATAAAGGTGTTTTTATGTTGGTCTCGCGAAAATTTAGTCTCATTTGATAATTTGTAGTGAGTGTAGAAGAATTTTACGTAGTGAGTGTAGAAGAGAACATAAAGACAGTAGCTTAATCAACTAAAATTTGAGTAAAAGACCTGAGTATTTTCTTGAGTTTGTGCCTTTCGTCCCTATTAAAATAATGGCTTGTGGATTAGAACATCCATTCCTGTTAGGCCTGGCAAAATGCTCTACATTCTGTAGAAAATTTTCTTTCAGTTTCAATCAAATTGTCACACAGTCAAAAGACTTTTTCAAAACATGTTAGAAATTTGATCCCAGTTACCTTCATACCAGGGCCTAAAGGCTTCCATTCAAGGGCTGTAATGCCCATAGCCTCATTCTGGGTTTATCTACATACGACCACCTAATGCTAACACCTTATACATCAGCAGGGCAAGGCAAAAATGCATCTTAGAAGAGGAGTAGATATTTTTGAAAGTTCAAAGCACTTCACTTTTCTCCTTCCTTGTTTAAAAGAGATGACTAATACCATCATTAAAAGAGATGAAAAAACCAATTCTGATAGTGACTTTGATCATTTGCAGTAGAATTCGATTGGCTATTTTATGCTTTGATGAGTAATGAAATGGTGTTATGCATGAGAAAAGCATCTGACAGGCAGCAGCCACTCGCTATCCTTTCAGTACACCTTAAGAGTAGCAAGCAAAACTTCGTAGGTCACAAATGGCATGCCATTATTGAAAAGAATACTCTGATTTGAGATACATTTTCAAAAATGGGCCTAATGGGAACATGAGAAAGAACTTCAACATTAATTTGTTGCAGAAAGGCCAAAGTATTGCCAAAATGATTAAGTACAAATCTTACCGCAATCATTGCATCATCCAAATTATCGAGAGTTTTGTATTGGTCTTCATTCTCTTCCTTGGTGTTTCTAGGATTTCTGATTGTCTTTCGGATTAAATCCCTCGCGACGCTTCTTTTTGCTATCACCCTTGACTTTCTGTTGCCCTTTATTTCTAGAAATGACTCTTGTGGCTCATCCGAACGCTCTTTTAATCTTGGTGGCTCATCTGAATGCTCTTTCAATCTTGGTGGCTCATCTGAACGCTCTTTCAATCTTGGTGGCTCATCCGAACGCTCTTTCAATCTTGGTGGCTCATCCGAACGCTCTTTCAATCTTGGTGGCTCATCCGAACGCTCATTTAATCTTGGTGGCTCATCCGAACGCTCTTTCAATCTTGGCGGCTCATCCGAACTCTCTTTTGATCTTGATGGCTCATCTGAACGCTCATTTAATCTTGGTGGCTCATCCGAACGCTCTTTCAATCTTGGTGGCTCATCCGAACTCTCTTTTGATCTTGATGGCTCATCTGAACGCTCATTTAATCTTGGTGGCTCATCCGAACGCTCTTCCAATCTTGGTGGCTCATCCGAACGCTCATTTAATCTTGGTGGCTCATCCGAACGCTCTTTTGATCTTGGTGGTTCATCCGAACGCTCTTTCAATCTTGGTGGCTCATCTGAACGCTCTTTCAATCTTGGTGGCTCATCCGAACCCTCATTTAATCTTGGTGGCTCATCCGAACGCTCTTTGAATCTTGGTGGCTCATCTGAACGCTCTTTCAATCTTGGTGGCTCATCCGAACGCTCTTTCAATCTTGGTGGCTCATCTGAACGCTCTTCCAATCTTGGTGGCTCATCCGAACGCTCATTTAATCTTGGTGGCTCATCTGAACGCTCTTTCAATCTTGGTGGCTCATCTGAACGCTCATTTAATCTTGGTGGTTCATCTGAACGCTGACTGAAAGGCTTGATAAATTTCGTAGCTTTAAATCTGTTTTTTGTGTCCCAGACGCTTGTATTTTTATCAAAACTGTTCCTTACCTTTGGGATATCATCAATACTCTCTCCGGGAGACATGTTTGAATTCTGAAAAGATACCGATGCATCTTCCTGCTCAGGTACCATTGCATCATTACCAAATTGAGCACGGTATTTTGAGGATAAAATTTCATCAAATTCAAGTTCGTTTTCACGAAGATCAATCCGTCTCTGCTCTGAAAAATTGATGAACAGCGCAAGACTTATAATTAAAAGCTTACAGCCTTCCATTTCTTTGAGGGAGGCCTAGTATAAATTCTGTGTGTGAAATAGCATCCAGATTTGATTTAAATAGATTTAGGCAACAGGTAAGTGTGGATCTCACCATAAAAGGCTGTTTAAACATGACACGACTGGGACTACAAAATCTTACTTTCAGGTAATATGGAATTTATTAAATATTGGAACAGGTGTTGCATACCAAGCAAACATGACTTTAGCTTTTGGCTTGCAGCAGAATCGATTCAAAATAAAATATATCTATCACGTGACTCAGACTATGCTGTGATGGTTGTTGTCCTTCCGGATAGGGATAAGGAAACTTAAACGAAGAGACATGAGTGTTTGCAATAATTATACTTCAAATTAGTACTGTTTTCACAAGGATACGTCATATTGATAGAAATCAAAAATATTAATTATTACTTTCCTTTTAGAATCACCATTTCAACACTGTAAGGATTTGAGACAATTTTTTTTCAACACAAACATACAATTTTGCTCTGATCCTAACACCTGCATTTTCATTCCGGCGAAGAAATGATTAATAAAAATTTTAATTATAACAATGATTAGCCCAAATAAATGTTCATTTTTCACTGGCCAGACTACAGTTTTATTCTACTCTTGCAAGTTGAATAAACAGTAACAAGAGCTAATTACAAATGTTATGATTTCGATATAAAAATACAATGAAAAGAATGAATGTTTCTTGGGAAAACAAACAAGAGATTTGCCAATTTCAGGATGACTAAAGCCTTCCGTCTTCCCAGAACTACCTGGGATGGGAAATATTTCATCTCTTATCTGTTAGCATCTTATAAAAACCACTGTGTTTAAATTCTATGAGGTAGTTCTACATTGACCGTGCTAGATCAGATAATTTTCAGTTGCCGGTATCATATGCTAAAATTCTCTCTGCATTGCTGAATTGGCTAACTGCAAGGCAGCTCTTCATTTCATTTAATCATAAAATTTTACTACATACAAAAATCGTTTAACATGCAACAATTAACAAATATTATATAACAAGATGACAAAAGATTAAAAACAGAAAATTACTGTAAATTGATAGAAGATTGTATTTTTTAAGAAGAGGCTCTATCAGTAGATAAACTAATCGAGGATAGAGCACCTCCTTTTTCTAACTTCATGTCTGAATAAAAAAACGCAATAAAAAGTTTAAAGGTTCACATACTGGTGTATAGGTGTTATTTAAAATTTTTCCTAAATGAGAATGTAGACGATGAATTTCTTATTTCCCTTGGTAACTCATTACATAGCTTGGCTCTTCAATCCCACTGACTGAATCTTAATTTAAAAATGTCGATGCATTTTGCTTACTGTTAAATATGATGACTGCAAAGTTGCTATATTCATCCATGCTCCGTTCAGTATTGTTTGGTAGTCTTTGTTGATGTAAATTAATGGAGTATAACAAGACCTACTGATTGTTATTTCAGCTTATGAATTCATCACGTGTCTACAAGCTTTGATTTGTTTATGTGTGACTAACGTATATGTGCTTCAGACAACACACAGCTAGGCCCTGCTCAGCCGCCATTACACTTCGATTCACCAAACGAATTCCATGCTCGCACAAAAACGCATGCCCGCGCAAAAACGCATGCCCGCGCAAAAACGCATGCCCGTGCAAAACGCATGCTCAGAGAGAAAAGCACGACAATGTTCTTCAAGATTCTACAAAGGTGTCTTTATTGTTTTTAGACATGGATACCAAACAGACAATAACAGCATTTTTGTCATCACCTTGCTGAAGCATACTGAATCAACAGGCAGTATCAGATAGAGCTCGAAAATCGAGAACATTTCATGTCCAAAATAGAACCTGTTGTCATCAAAACATCGCCAAAGATTTGCAATAAATCTGCAAGATATGACCAATGTCGTGTCAAAATGTAAAGAGAAAGATGACAAAATGCACGAAAGTATGAAAATGTCTATTTTCGACAAGCACCTGGGTATAAACAAAGTCACCTCATCTAATTGTCTAATGAAATTCCGTCCTCAGATGGGTGTCTATAAAGAAAGTTCTAAAGCTTTGCTAAGAACAGAAATACACCAGTTTTGTATTTTACGAACGCATTTACATCGTAAAAGATCCCCCTGTAACAAGCAAAGTTGTATTCAGCTATCTCGGATGTCTCGGATGACCATCCCTTTGGGGTCGGCAAACGAGTACCAAGGGTAGCTGTTCTCGCGATATCGAGGATAGGATGCTTCTCGCCTTTCCAAGTCTAATCTTTTTCCTCGTGAGTTATATTTTACAAAATTATATTTTTTTAAAATATTTGGTTCACTTTTTATAGTGTTTTGATACCCACATTATTCTCTTTTGATAAAAAAGAAATCTTTAGTGCAAACTATTATTGTTTAGTTGCTAATTAAATACCAAGTACATCCTTAAAATGCACTTGAAACTCAGATTCTGTTAAATAATGCCTTGGTCCCTGGATTATACAAACCTTTTTTATGTTTCTACACTAGGAGGTACACAGAAATTGAAATTATTGAAATATTCCAACCGCAATGATATCAATATTATATATCTAATACAAGTTTTCATTATATCATAAAAATATTGAAGGATAAAATATGATTCTTTGCCACAGTTTTCGAGGCTACTTTGTACATTAGGAAATATGGTTACTTTGCCTAAATTCAGTAAAATGTTAAAATTTTAAAATGACGATGCTAATAAAATTCTTTAAGAAACAAATGACTGTTCTATTGGCATAGGGTCACCATTTTCCAGCACTTTGCCTATAGCCTCGACTTGAAATCCAATGTCAGTCAAACACTTGTGATCCAGAATGAGGCGCCCATCGAACGCAAAAGCAGGCTTCAACATGCTTTGGTACACGCGAGTGTAATCTAGGGTCTGAATAAAATGGCAGTTTTAGTGTGGAAAGTGGCAAAGTTAATTTAGAAAGGTTGTCTTCGGAAGTTGGTGGCTGCCTAGGGCTAAAAACGTACAGTTAACATCATCCGACAGAGTATTATACAGAAAAACCTTCTACAATCAATGGGGAAATTTCATCAATGAATATATTCCAACAATGGATATCAACAGCGAACATCTCCCAACAGCGCACATCTCCCAACAGCGGACATCCCCAACAGCGGACATCCCCAACAGCGGACATCCCCAACAGCGGACATCCCTAACATCGGACATCCCCAACAGCGGACCTCCCCAACAGCGGACATCCCCAACAGCGGACACCTCCTAACAATGGCCACCATCTACCCATGAACACCATTCAACAATGCCAGCCCCCAGACAACCGTTATATTCAAACATAAGATTTATAAATAATCAATAAAGTTGTGCGTGTTTCGATTCTACTGTTCTATTCTCTTCTTAACCGCTTCTCCTTCTATTCTGTTTTACCTGATGAAGAGTTATGATCGAAACGCTGTTCCAAATACTAATTTATTGCACAAAGTCGTTATTTTACTGTATCATAAGATTTATAGTCATCAAAGCTTTTGACCAAATGACCCTCAAACATTCTAAACCCCCAGTAAGGGACAGTAGCTCTGGCTCTAATTATCCCCGCTATATTGAGGTCTCCCTGTAGAAGCTTGTATTGAACTCTTAACGCACATATAGTCTATTGTAGTTCACAGTTTGTGTATTTTCTATATAGTTTTTGCACCTTACTGTTTGTTTGAGGTGATGGCCAAGGTGTTTATATCAATTTCTGAACTCCCGATGTTATCAAAGTTTTACTGAAAATCAAGTTGTTATCAAAGCTTCGATCATTGATTTAACCATTGATTGGTCATTGATTCGAGCATTTTAGCTGTCTTATCATTAAAATAATGCGAAGCTTTCTAAATAACATGCTATTATGTTACTCTTAACTTTGCACTATACTTTGGCAATATGATACTGCGTAGTTCAAGACCGACCAATAAGATTTTACGTAAGATATACAATTTCTTCGTCGAAAACAATACATTAGAAAGGAAATTTAGTTGAACAAACCTTGAATTCGTCCCATTCAGTGCAAATCACAAGTGCATGACTCTTCTCCACTGCTTCATAAGGACTTTGAAAAACTTTTACCAGCCTCTTTACTACAAATAGACAGATGTATAGATCTTCAAAACAGGTTAGAAAAAGGCTCCTTTATCTAAAACAAGCTAATATATAATTATCAGGCCCCTCCTACCCACACCTCAGACTCCTCCAACCAACTACCTTACCAGCCTTGTTAGGGTAATCTGTAAAACAATACGACACGTATGATACACAAACATCGATTCGATAGGAATAAAGGAGTGTATTTATCAAATGGTATAGCGAGTCTGTGTAATACGTAAGTAAAGTGCCTATGGTAAGACGTGACACTTGTCTTAAGCAAACAGCACAAAGATCAAGGGTTGTCAGACCACTGTCTTTAGCCTACCCAAGGGTACCACTTTTACTGCCAGATGGGCTATTTGCAAGAATCCATATCAAGAGTCAAACTTTGACTCAAACTCGTGACGTCATGAGCTGCAACATTCTGGCCTCTCTTTTGCTCTTTTCTTTTGCTTTTTCTTTTAATTGCATTACTACCAATTAAAATTTTAGACTAGGAAATTACATTTTTGGTGATAAGGGTATTGGATAATGTGCCGAAATACTTTTAGAAATAAGATTTGTTAATATTGAAACAGAATATAAAAATATTGTGCAAGAAAGTGACACTGTGGGAGAAAGCAAATAATTTGAAGGGGTCATACAAAGTTTTCAGGCTCGCCGAGAAGGAGATAAGAAGAAAAATTGTAACAAAGCCTGGTCGGGCATGGAAATTATATTTAGAAGGATTAGGTATACCTCGTTCAGGGTCCATACCAAGACTGGGATCAGTCAGTTCTCTGTAACAAAACAAATAAAAGCACTTTAGCAAACGCATTCAGACAGAAAAACAATTTCGCGATTTAATTGCTCATAAAAATTGAAAACACTTTATACTGTGCCATATGCAAACTCCAGGAATTCAGAAACCAATTAATAAGGATACTCACAGAAATATTTGTGACTTTGAAACTTTAGGATCATAAATGGCCACTTGAGCTCCTTCTTCTATAAGGTACTTGCAGATGAAAATGCTCGGCGACTCTCTGTTGAACGAAAAAACGGTATACATAAAAACAAGAAGCGACAGGACGAGTAATTATAATTTTTTAAGTAAAAGGAGGTGGATAATTATCCTATATTTTCAAAACATTGTACATCTATGACATGACTTAAACAAATTACTATTTTTCGTTGTGTACTGATGGTCGCATTAGACGTCAAACTCGGAGAAGCAGCTTAGAACCGTCCTGTTCTATACATCAATAGCGTATGATATGACTGATATCATTGCAACAGTCCGACAGAATTTATAAGCTCCTTGTGTGAATTGCCTGCCCATAGAACTGAAGATTTGTTTCACGAAACATTTTCATTGTCACTGATCACCAATACTTTAGTCATATCCATATCAATAGATTTAATTCGGTTTGTCAGCTTGGATTTCCCAGTGTGGACACATCAAACTTTAGCTTTTCCAGGTTGGTTTTTACCACAATTTAGAGTTGTAGTAACCCCAACTCAAGTCCAGGCTAGTGTTGCTGGTATTGGTGCTTTTCAGTTAGATTGGTAGAAAAATTGAATTCTAGGATATTTCTTAGATTCACATGTTTACGTTGATGTAGATGGCCTAAAGTTCTTATTCCTTTTAATTTTCTGTTCTCCTTATATTGAAAGCACCTCTCTTGCAATATTGTTCTCGAGCATTGGTTTCAAAGGGTATGAACTATTCTCTGAGCAAGTCTGCTCTTTAGTATGAATTCACATAACGCTTGCAACAAACTTAAACCACAAACCTAGTATCCCCTGTGTCCTTTTTGAATGCAAAGCCAAGAAGTCCAATCTTCTTATCCGTAACGGTATTGAAAAGGCAGTTAATGATTCTATTAGCAAAGCGTCTTCTTTGGTATTCATTCATAGTAATAACTTGATGCCAGTATGCAGCAACTTCTGGCAGATTCAGTGCCTCGCAAAGATAAACGAGATTCAGGACATCTTTCTGGAAACAACTGCCACCGAAGCCTGTCAGTCAAGAACAGAAAATCAGTAAACATCACTCATATTTCCTCAGCAAGACATATCTTACTCATATCTCTAGCGTAGGCTGTCTAGAATCAGAATTGCTCGACAACTGAGGGTCCAATGTACTCCGGAATCAGGACTGATAAAATATCAGCCCATACATTGGGAGTTAAAAACTATTAAAGATATCACATCGAATATATCTTTACATATCTATAAGTTTTGATTCAAGTAGAGGCAAACTGCCTACAGATTCGTATGTGAAATTTTGCCTGCTAATACATATGTCTCAGAGATCTATTTAATAGGCTTAAGCCAGATCATTCCAATCTTATCTTGAATTACAAATGTACACAAGCCACGCCGGAAGATAACAGAGATGTTCTACAATACAAAATTCGTACAGCGCAAAAAGCGGTCTAAAGATAATGAAACCAATTTACATTTGAAAATATTTTTTTCCTGTGAAAGCCATTCGGGGTAAGAATTTTCTTCTCTAGACAAAAAACTTAATGTGCAATTTGGTGTGACACACCAATTCTTGTAAAATCGTGATTGCCGATACATTGTCTAGCCATCGCATGTTTAAAGGGAAGTTAAGTACACAGTCCTTTACTGACCTACACTCGCTTGCAGGAATTTGCTTCCTATTCTTGTATCCATGCCAACGGCATGTGCAACCTCGGTTACATCAGCACCTGTAGCCTCACAAACCGCACTCATTGCGTTTATACTGGATATTCTTTGGGCAAGAAAAGCATTTGCTGCCTAAAAAGGGATAAAGGCTGCTTAATGAAAAATTGATTATTGCGCTATTTTTCAAAATCGAAAAAATTGCTAGAAAAGAGGTAATATAAAGACATGCAATCCTTATAGTAATTGCATAAATTGAATCATGATATGTATATCATATATTGATTACGCTTTGTTGTATATAAAAGGACGGTTCTAAGTTGCAATTCGGAGTTACACGCTTAACAAGATCATTGGGTAACTACTGCTCCTGCCGACATTTTTAACAGTTCAGTTTGATCTCCCTTGTAAGGGTACCAATGCTCGTTGTTCTTTATCAGAGAACCTTAAATTAGTAATAAGTTTACAGGTGATTTAAATTAATTACGGACATTTAGATAGTAGGACCATATTTGGATGTCAGCTAGAAATATATTCAGAATATCTGTAATATATACATAGAAACATTCAAAAAGGACAAGTATCGTGACAACTATTTTGATATACAATATTGGAGATCTCAAGCAGTGCACTTTCATGACATAAGCTATAGGAAAGGGTTCGGGGCAGCTCGGATATGTTATTTGAAACTATTCGGTAAATGTACACCAAAATTAGAAAATCTTTGCCAGTGAAATAGAAAGGAAAAAATTTGCAAAAACCAATACATAAAAAATCGAAATTGCAAAAAAAAACAGATATTTTCGCTTCACTCTTCAAGCCAGGCAAAAGCAATTTCCATATGTTTTCAACCAAAAGGCTGTAGGAAAAAGAGATAGAGAGATATCCCTTCAAATTAGCCCGTTTTTACAATCTAAAAAAATCGTAGCATGGATTTGAGTTCATGTTTATCATAATAAAAAGTTGAACGCTTACCAGCTTCGATAATTCTGATGACCAAGTGTTCATTTTCACAATCTTTTCTGCTGGAACCCAATGTTGATAGATCGATGCCAAGGAATCGATGGCAGCAAGACCCTCTTTCGTTTGTTCTCCGCCTATAAATGAATAGATATACTAGATTGTGTGCGGTACAATATAATGCTATAACGTAACGGGCTATGCTCAAAACGTCGTTATTTATTTACAAAATGTTTCCTGGTACAATTTACCTACATTGATCGTTATATAAATGAGTAGCACATTTAGCCTATTCATAAATAACAAAACTAAAATTTTACACTATATATAGCTGCAAAAAAAAGCTTTACGTATGGTTCAAAAATAGTATAGTACTATATTTTAAAAGAAGTGATGTATAGATGGTGATATCTTATTATCTTATCATCTGATGCAATGTAACAGAATGTTTCGTAGTAGGAATCAAACAACGGTTGAAAGCAAATAAGAGTCAAGGGGATATATCTTAATATTTCATTTCAGCAGGTAGATAAATCCAGGATATATTAGTTTTTGACAACTGGGTCTAGCTGAGGTTAGATGAAGAACGATAGCGCAGTCTTTATCCTACGATACAATGAATTCATCTTGATAGACTTGTATAAGCGACAGTATGTTCTAAGGTAGGCGGGCATTTTTTTTGTCTCTTACGTGCCAACAAATTCCTAAATTTGTTAATTACAGGGACTACAAGAGCAGAGTGGCTAAAGCCTGAATTACACGAGACGAATTTTTTCGTGCGAAGCGAATTTTTCGCCGCGAATGCGCGAAAAATATGCGCAGAAGTGGAGATTAGAAAATTCGCAGCGAATTCGCAGCGAATAATTCGCTGCGAAAAAGTAGAATCCATTCCTACTTTTTCGCTGCGAATTTTTTCGCCATGTAAAATAAACCAATCAGAACAGCAATTGAAGACATCTGACACGAACCCAAAGGAAGGGCTAGGCCGAATGGTGCTACGCAATGTAAACATATCTAAATCAAAAGTATGCAAACTACGCAATGGATCAAACAACAACATGGGTGAAGAATGAGTAACCTATGACTAGGCCTAAACAATGCTGGGAAAATCCCGCACCTATAACATAAACAATGGAATGGGACGTTTCTAGCAACAGGCGTCTTTGGTGCAATAAACGATAAAAGCTCCTCATATGTAGTTCAGTACTTACCACTTACCAAAAGATGAAACTCCCCCTTCTGCAGACGTTCTGAATAAATTTTCCGAACCAAGTACCCATTTATTTGCTTTTTTGCTCGCTTTTTTTCAATAACAACAATCTTCGAACAGACGCCATTTTCTTTGGCATTATTCGCGGCGAATTCGCAAAAGAAATTCTGCCAGTGGAAATTAAACTTCGAATTCGCAGCGAATTCGCAGGAGAAAAATTCGTGGCGAAAAATTCGCTTCGCGCGAAAAATTCGTCTCGTGTAAATCAGGCTTAAGGGACATCAGCTCCGTGCAAGTTTCGAAATATTCTTAAAACCATACAATCGACCTTATTGCTTTTGGCGTTTAGCATGCCATGCCCCTTAAACATTTCAACTTTCCACACAACCAGTCCTTCACAGTCCTTAGTTGTCTAGCTAGGTTTCTAGATTTTTGTCAGATCTAAAGCCTTAATAAGCAGCTTTGCATGAACGCTCCGGCCATCCGGCCTTTAATCCAGTGTTTGTCTATGACCATCAAGTTTTTTCGCGGAGAGAGTTTGTGCATAAGCTTATCACAGTCTCTGCGGTACACAGACATCCGTTCTACTTTCGTTTTTATCCTCTCAGATTTGTTTCCATAACCAGTCATACCTGCTGCATATGTGGCATATGTGGAATCTAGCCCCCAGAAGCGCCAACACAACTCGATGTATTCTAAACAATAGTTGCAAACAAAGTTCTGTCTTTCGCATATTTTATGTCAGCTACCAAAAACCGGCGCCATGTTAAAACAAAGAAAATGCTTTCTGGGACACATTTATATCGTATGAGTGGCTTACAATGATCTCCAATCGCATTTTTGTTGCATCTGTTAGAAGAGAAAGAGTCGATTCTATCTCACACAATCGATCGCATCTGTCGTACTGGACTGTTGTATAAGGGGTACCTATATACGTCCATGATATCAGTACTTACCAATAAGAACTCTGTCCGGATACAAAAGATCTTTGATGGCTGTGCCCTCTGCTAGAAACTCAGGGTTGGAAAGTACCTATATAAAGAGAGGAATACGTACTATAAACTAAATTTTAGGCAAAGTTCATATCTAATTGTGTTACCATGCACTGATAGTATAAATGTTACCACAAAATTGGCATCTTAATAGCGTTTTCTAGAGTCCAATTAGCTACATAGTTTAAATATATTATTGAATCACTTATAAAAGAAATGTTAGACACTTTTAAAGTGAGTGCAAGGCTTTTGAGAGCAGGATTGAGGGCTAAACTAGGATTAAAAAAGTCTATTCTATCACAACATACCTGGATTGACAATCCATTCTTTTGGTTTGCAGACACAATACGACTTATACTAAGAAGAAAAAAATTTCTTTGGATGACAAATATATACTTTGATAGCATTAGACAGCTACAATAGTATGATTTGTTAATAAAACCAGGTGTAAAAAAGGTTAGAGGAGGCTAGACTATGATTAACTAGTAGAGCTGAAAAGTTGTGGTTTACGTAAGTTTCATTGTGATTTATGTAAGTTAAAGTGTTATTCATAGTTCTCAGTGTTGTTCAGTGTTATTCACATTCAAGTGTTATTCACAGCATACATAGATGGAGAGGAAATGGTTGATCTTGAACATCCAATGTCTATTTCCATTTAAATAACTTATACATATGCCAACCCAGTTGTATTATCACATATTTAAGTGTATGTTGATCTTCTGCAGAATTTAAAGAACTTCTGATAGACCTTATAGGTAACAAAAAACATATGTAAACAATTACCTTTCTGCAGCCTTAACAGGCACAGTGCTTTTCTCAACAACTATCTTTTTTCCCTTTGCAACTCTTGCAATGTTCCTTGAAGCAGCTTCAATATACTTTAAATCAGGAGCTCTTCCCTAAATAAAGATAGAAAACATTGCATGAATAAAATGTGGTATCAGTGAGTCTACAAAATAGGTATCTCAATGAGACATAGCTATCACATCAAAACTAGAAAATGTATGATTATTGTAGAGTTTAAACATGGTGAGCATTGAGCTGGTTGTTTTGAGAGGAAACTTTGGCCCTTTTTACTACAGAGGATTTAAAGTACTACAGAGGTCCAGATTCCTTTTCCCTTTCTAAAAATAGAGAAATTCATTTAGGTAAGTTAAGAGTTACCTTCCCCAGTCCAAATGTTTTTGTTGGTGTATTTACCTGCAAAAATAAACATCAAAAAGATTTTATACTAATCAAAGTAGCCAATGAAGAAAAATTCTGTGATTTCAAATATAGGAAATTTGTTAAATACTATGGTTTTGGAATTCTATGAACAATTATGGTTTTCATGCACTGATTGCAGGGATTGCTACAGCAATTCGTGAAAAACTAAACTTTCATGATAAAGAAACAGTGTTAGCTATCAAGAAGTCAAACAAATATATTTACTTACAGAAATAAATATTAAATCAGCTTCCATGATTGCTCCATCTATGTCTGTTGTGAAGAACAAATTGCGTCCTCTGGTCTCTTTGACCAAAGTAAACAGATCTGGCTATTAAGGAGATAAAGATTAAAGATTTATTAGCACAGATGCTGGCATCTCACATGAAAAACAATACATATAACAATGGTTATGTTCAATCTTTAAACGCTAATTTTATGTTTACTGTTAGCAAGATAGGTGGAGGGATATGTCTTTCTGCCATTTGTATGAAAACCATAGTAGTTGTTGTTAAGGAATATGAGTGTATTTAAGTTAGATAACTTACATTTGGGAGGAGGAAAAAATCTGGTTTGCCTGAATACCGGGAGAGAAATAACCGAATACTTGTTTTAACTTTTACTTTTAACCATGCGCCATTCATTTTATAATGTACAATCCATCATCAACAGCTTGTGTAGATCTTTCTTACTACCAATATAGGTACTAGGGAAGGCCAAAAACAAGTGTAGAGGATAAATAAACATTGAATTTATCATGTATCAAGCTTTTAAAGAGCAAAAGTGCTTTGATATCATTCCTATCAAATTATGTTTCATTATGTTTCATAAAAAGCTAAAAAATTCTCAGCCCAACGGGGAACTTCAATCCAAAAACATACCTGCTTTTTTGACTTTTAGATATGAATTTTTTATTCCTGCTTTAAAAGAATCGTTCTTTCAAAATTTTAACTAACTTTTCTGAGCAACTGTATCAAATTATTATTTTCTTTAGTATATAGCACAATTAATCGATGATTATTAATATATGTACGTAACTGGCTTTGGATAACGTCAACTTTTTTTTATCAATAAATTGGATTTGTCGAGTATACTTCTTTCTTAGACACGATCAAACAATAACCATTAGAAACAACTTACTTCATATATTGGCAACTCATCTGAATTCCAAGCGTCGATTCTTTCTTGGCTTAGATCAACAACAGTCACTTTTATATTGGGACATTTTTTAGCGATAACACAACACGTGGGTCCACCTACATACCCAGCGCCGATACACGCAATTTTCTTGATTCCCTCCATCTTCCAAACTCTACCTTTCGAGTAACAAATCTGATCCTTTCTCTTTGATTGGCATTCCTAGTTTACTGGTCATGTTACCACTGCAACTGAACAAAGAACAACCATTCATGACCTGTTGCTGTTCAAATTTTCTTAACCTGCTCCATTGTAAACATAACCACTAATCAAAGAGCCATCTTCAATTTCCCTCTTATTCACATCCGCCTCGTTCCAGCATAAAGAAATGTTGTCGATTGTTGTTTTGTGTAGCGGATGTAAAAACGTGTCAAATCACATGAAGTCTTTCTTCAACAAAACGTAAACAGTGAAGGGACGTCGTGAAATTCATTTTTCTTGAATATTGACAAAGGTAATATTCAAAACTATTTATACTATTATGTGGTCTGATGTATACAACTAGGTACTGCTTTTTATTAGGTTGCTGCAAGTTAGCTAGAGGAGTTTTAAGTTCTTTCACTTGCAGGTCAAATCAAGAAAATCTCGTTTTTCTAAATAAAAGCAAAGGCGATTATATTTTGTGCTTGCGTATTATTTTCATACCAGTGGCAGCTTGTATCCAAAAACCCAAGCTACTTCCATCATAGCTAAAATAGTTTCAACTGAGGTTCATAGATCTAGAGCCTTTTAACCCCATGCTGCACTGCCAAAATGCTATTAATCACAAGTCTCAGCAGTTGCTTGCATTGCATCTATGTGTTGTAAAAATCCATCATGTTTTCCAGCCAGGCTGCTTGATTCAAACTTAAAGTATAAAGACTTTTGACTGAGATTTTACCAGTTTGCTAAGTATGGCCAATTTTGACAAGATCTCAGGTGCGCCAAGGCAGTGGTGGAAATTCATTTTTCAAGTGGGGGGAGGGGCCATGCCCACAAAAGCAAGCAAATTTGCTGACAAATGACATAATTTTAATGACAAAAAAGACAATTGACCAAAACCTGGGGGAGCGGTCACCCCCCACACCCCACCAATTTCTGCCACTGTGCAAGGGTGCGCTGCAAGTGCAGGTGGCAAAAACTATCCAAAACTACCAGGTGCACAAGCACTATCAATTTTTACAGTATATAATTTAATAGATCTAGTTTTTAGGTGCACAAACAACCTGCTATACGTACTATAAGTGACCCAGTCTGCAGAGTCCAGGGTGGAATCCATGGAGATATTCGGTGTGGACTTCATAATTTATTTGGCCTACTGGCGAATAATGAAGAAAAAATAATGTGTTTTGGTATTAAGGTGGATGGGTTTGCAGCCTGTGTTTGGCCCAACGTATGACTTAGAAACCAGTGAAAAGGATGCTTAATAGTTATGCATTGTATCATGCAACATTTTGGTGTAAGCATTAAAATTTATGCTTTTTGGCACAGCTTGATAATTTATTGGCCAATTTCCGGCATGAGCTCTACATGAATTCCACCCTGGAGCAGAGTATGGCAGGACAAGGTATCGGCATGCAATTAGTGCCATATTTTCCATGTACAAACCTCTCTTTACTCTTCTGGCGTGCAAATATAAGTTTAGCTAAAAGCCCCAAAGTAAATTTGGTGTGCAATCAGAAAATTTGGCATGCTTCACTATCTTGACCTGCCTGCATCTGCCATACTCTGCAGACTGGGAGGTGATGGAGTTGGGGGAGCTGGGGGTGCTAGCCCTCTCACTTTTTCAGAACTTTCTTATTTCCATATGGCTTCAAAACTCAGGCTGACAGGTTTTCTATTTATTTGTATTTTTTTCATTTTGAATATCAGCCACCTCCCCCCCCCCCCCCCTGCATACTTTGATATTTGAATCTGACGATTCTTTAATATAAAAGTGCATTCTGGAGCAAAAATACATTGGCGAGACACCATGCCTTATGAATTTAGCTCCACTCTTATTTTATTCAGTTTTCAAATACACTTTTTTAAGTGATTCTATTAGATTTAAGTCAACTCTATTTAAGTGAAATTACTAAAAAACAGTTGCTGACACCTGGTGTGGGTGAGGGGGGCTATTTCTCCCAAAAAATTTTGAAAGATAATGTACATATGAAAGCAATTAGGCTTGTCCCCCAAATATTTGACCAAGTGTCCGCCACTGCTACAAAAAAAGATGGGTGTTCACATTACTTTTAATGCATTGCAATTCTGCTAACTTTTCATCCCAAAAGGATCATTGATATACTTCACATATTTCATGCTTTACTGCTTTTGAAGTGCTTTCGGGTCTATTTACAAGTTTGCAAAGTGTGACAGTTCTTGACTAGATGCCACATACGAATAGACATTTTAGGCTCATTTCCACATGAAAACATCCTTTTGCCAATTATTTTATGTTTTACATGCAAACAGAAGTTTTCTAGAGTAGTGCTTGTCAGTTCAGTGTGCAATTTCAAATTTTGGCACACAGCACTTTAGTGACTTCAAACATGTAGTTTGTGACTCTGCAGAGTGACCACTTCGACAAATATAAGATACAAACAGAGTCACCATACTACATCAGACAGAGTTACTATAGGTACTAGAAACAAAGAAAAATAGGGGGAAGGACCTTTTGTATTGCAGAGGGCATACAGAGATTTCAAACTCTGGTAAAAAGGGACCCCAGACCAACAATTTTTGAAGCCGATGTGTAGGTCTAATTACAGAGAAATACATTTTGATTCGCTTGCATGTAGTGTTGCTTGGTAATTATTTTGTCTTATTTTTAGGTGTAACATGAAAAGGTTCTCCAAATGACTGTTCCTATGACTGGCAAACTAGCAACACTTGATGATTTCATAAAAGGAAAAACTAAGTTATTTGGTTTGTCTGATAAAAGTGCAAAAGGTTCTTCAGCTGTCCATATTGAGACAGAGTCAGCTGATGATCCAGAAAAAGAAATGAAAACATTCTGGTTCTCAAATAGCCAAGAAGATGGCAGAGAGAATGCATGGTTACCTGGCCTTGTAAGTAGTATTTCAGTTAAGTATTGATGTTAGTGCAGTATTTCTTAAGAGTTTAAGAAAAAAACAAATTTATTTTCAGATATCTGGTAGGTAGAGGTACTTTTTCTCTGGAGGTTGACAAGGGGGGGGGGGGCAATGATTTTGTTAGATTTTAGTACTTAGTACAGGATTCTTAGTAGAATGCATCTCTAAAAAAGTCAGATTGTTATGTCTCTAAATGTGATGTCAGGATCGAGAAATATTTCTTTCATGTTCAGTTTTGAAGATCAATTATGTTAGCTCTTACTTTAATTTGCAAGCATGTTTTCCTAGACAAATCAGAGATGCCCCTTATGTTTCTTTGGAGTTCTTTGTAGTTCAAAGCTTTTTCAAAGTTCCCATATTGCAGCATTTTTTTCAATTCTTACAGTCAATTTAATGAATTTCCTATTTCTTGTGTTACTTTGTTAGTCACTAAAATCTTATCATAAGCTTTTAGGTAATTCAATTCGTTTTTATTTTGTTTGCTTATTAGAATAAATGTTTCAAAATTACCATTAATGGATGTGTGTCTTATCTTGTTTGAACAGTCTAAGAAGCAAAGAATTGTTGGGTTTTTCACATTGCTTGTGATGGGGATATTTTGTTTTGGCATGGTAAGCAGTTTTTGATATGAAATTTTGTAATTCAAAATTCACTGGGCATTTTTTCAGTAAAACTTTTTCTGTGTGTCAAAACGTTTTTTCCAAGAAGTGAGATGGAATGGAATGGATCTAAATGCTTTTTTCCTTATTTTGCTACTGCTGATTTTTCAAAGTTTTTGTCCTTGATTCATTTATGTACTAGTGCTAGCTTATTTTCATAGGAATTTCTTTAACCAGGCAGGTTTGCTTATGCCGTTTATGGTTCTGAAAGCAAGAAAGTTTGTTTTGATGTACACAATGGGAAGCTTTTTCACAATAGGAAGGTAATTTTTTTTTATTCTTTCTAACGTTTCCGATCACAATATGATGCTGTATACATCAATACCACAATAATTGGATCAAAGGTCTTGAATAGGTCCTCATCTTGAACAGGCCCCTTCTCCCCCAATTATGCTGCTGGATTTGTAAAAGGAATTTTGGTCCAGTTAAAGAAGCTCACAAAGAAATAGCAAGTGCTCAATAAAACCCTCCTTTTGAATACCATAAAAGCTCTATTCCCCTCCTTTCCGAGCAATAAAATTTAAAATAAGCCCCCCTCTGAAATAAGCCATTATAATCTTGTTTTTTACAAGTATATATTGATGTAAAGTTGTTTTAAGTAACCATTTAAAAGTTTTGATATGGACTTGCACAGAAAAATGAAACTTTTTTGAATTTTTAGATTTATATACTATGATTCTGGACTATAATTTGGCCATTTGAATAGCACAATAAGGAATGATAAATTTTTTTAAACCACCAAATCCTGAAATACTCAAAACCACCGCTGGACATACAAATATGTTTTTTAAATATGAATAAGAAACTAATAAAGAAATTGCAAATTCTGTAGCTGAATGTTTATTGTTAACATATGTCTGTGTTCTAAATAGAATTTTGTATCTTCATCTTCCGGTATCATGTTTGCTTAGGACTAGGCTAAAAGGTCTTTTGGTTGACCTCTTATCTTGCCAATTTTATCCCCCTGTTGTTAGGCCTGTTTTAATCAAATTGCTAAAACCCATTAGTTTTTACCCTAATTTATATCTCTTTTTTAGTTTTTCAGTACTGTGGGGTCCTGTGGCCCACATGAAACACTTGTGCTCATACACCAGATTACCATTCACCCTGGCATATTTTGGGACAATGTTTGCAACTCTTTATTCAGCTCTTCTTGTGAGTATTTTTCTTCAAATCATTTAATGGCCATTTAAATACTGATAATCATTTTAGTAGTTATTTGGTATTTTGTTCTTACACAAAAAACATAATATTTTAGCTATCTTCACAGTAAAATCGAATCTGAGAGCCATGACACTAGTGAGAAATATATTAGCAAATATGTGAATTATAGATTTAATAAAATAGAAGATAGGCTAGAAATGAGACATGTTCTCTGTTACTCCAAGTTTCGTGCTTGCGAACTCATCAGACAGACTATAATATATATACTACTATATACAGACAGAATATAGCTTTTGCACATCGAGCACTGTCAAGTCAGAATAGACAACGCAATCTGAATTATAGTTTGAAATACAAATCATCGTTTTGGGTTTTCTCTTGGTTCATTGTGATGTTTGTCAGTTCGTTCTAAATGGGTGCAGTTTCACCAATTTTATAAATTTTCATTTTAGTTGAAAAAGACACTGCTGACATTAATATTTGCCACCCTACAGATTGTTGCCTTGGCCTGGTAATTATCACTTCATTTAACCCTAAAGCTTTTTATTTCTTTTTAAAGACTGTGTTTAATTTTTATTTTGCAGTGAACTTGCCCCTAGAATTCCGCGTTAGATTCCAATACCTTATTACACGAAAAAAAGGCGGTACATTAATTAAACGTGAATTGAAAAATTTCGCGTTAATTAAAACCCCGTTAATTTCATATCCGCGTAAATTTCTTAACCGTTATTAAATGTCTAGCGTTGAAAGAACGTTCGTTTATTTCATCCCATTTCAATTTTCTATGTAATGTTTCAAAACTACAGAAAATAGCCAGATTTTTTTATTAGGCTATGTCTGGAACATATTGTTTTATCTGAAAAAATGAGGATAATAGAAAGCGTCCAAAACGGAATGGCCGGAATGTGTTCTTTTCACAAGTTCTATTAAATATAAAACATTTGTTTCCTAGATTTGATCAAGGTACAAGAGAACCTAAAAATACTTTTTACAACATTTGAATATCAACTGTTTTCGCCTAAAATTCCACATCTTCATCTTCTCGATGCCTAATATTTTTCGAGTCATCAACATACTCTCTGGTCAGGGGATACACGACCTCTTTCACTTTAGCCACTAAAACTGACAATTTTTCAGGCTCATTCCATGTGGCTGATAGCTTTATTGGAATCTCTAATCTACCTTGAATTGAAGTTTTTATGTAATTTTTTATTGTAACTCGAAGTTTTTACTGTTTTCCCGTACTGAATTTGAAGTTATTTTGATAAAAAAGTTTGCTGACATTGAACATTCCCGTTAATCAAATACCATTTTAACATTTGAATTTAGTTAATTTGCGTTAATCACCACACATTTGGAAATCCACTCTGGCTATTCGCGTTAATTTGTGATCGCATCAAGTTGTTCCGCGTTACTTGGTGTTCCTCGTTACTTTCGTGTAATGAGGAGTTTTGTATAGGTAATCCTTTCTTCGAGCCTACATTATAAATGTTAAGGGCCTATTTATTCCAATTTCAACTTACTGATAATTCACTGTGATGGGCTTTTATTGAACTCATGGCTTGTTTAGATGGTTGTAAGAAGCCTCTCCAGCTAGTTAGCGCTAGCAATAGCTAGCGTTTCCGCACAAAATTTCACAAATGGAGTAACCCTTTAAGCTGGCCCGACGTCAATTAATCGTATGGAAGATGGCCATAAATTGCATTATAGAGCTAACTGTTGAAGATGAGGCTACCCAAAGAGAGGAGTTGTCATGACAGCTAGGGCAACCTCGCTTTTTATTATAGCCCTAGAGGTAGGGTTATCCAGGCTTGCTTGTGGAAGCGGAAAGTGAAAACATACAAAAATGCACTGGGACTGAGCCTTACTAAGAAATCCCTTATACAAAAGTAGTCTCTACAAAAGGGCTACCCATACTCCTTATAAACAGGCCCTCAGCCAATACCAGTGTATATATTGCCTAAGGAATTTGGTTATGAACCGACTGAATAGAGAAATTTGTATTGTATTTGGTCGAAAAAGTGTCCTTATCAGCGATATTGTATGGCCCAAGTAAATGTGACGTTCACAAACTTTGGCCAAAACGGTAAATTTTTGTCTTCTTCTAGGTACGTTTTCAGTTATGTTCCTGGAGGCACAACTGGTATGAAATTCTTTTCCAAGCTGTGTGCGCAAATGTGTGCAAAGACAATTTCAAAAACACTTCCTGTATAAAAATTGAAATGGACAGTCTTAATAGTACAATGTAGAATTTCTCTGCATAAGCTAACACATGGTTTCCTGATAGATCATGTCAGCTTATTTAGAAACTTTTAGTATTGCATTAAAGAGACAATATGTAGTATATATTTCTCAAAATAGGTTTAGGGTTAGGATTCACCAATTTGTCATGCAGTGCAGCTACCTATCTATTTTCAGACACGTACCCACCTTTTGCGAAAAGTACATGCCTACAGTGGCGGCTCCGTTAACAGAATACCTTTACTCGAAAGCCCAAGCGCCCTAACAGGTAGAAGGCATATGACAACGTACCCTTCCCCCCTTCATGCTAGGAGATTAGTGATTGTCTGGCTCAGTAGATTCTGGCCAGGTATTAATTAAAATTCAACGGAGTATATTATTGATCTAAAAAAGCCTCGGCTGTTTTGTTTTGTTATGTAACACCATAATGATTCACTGTTTAGTTGATATTCTGAAGAACATTCACCTTCTATAAGCAGAAATCTGATGCGCTCACCCTCTTAGGAGAACAATAGAGTTAACAGGATTGTGTCTACATCATTTGCATTGCAATTTTCAATTGAAGGTCGTGGGACAGCACGCTCGTTCGGTTTTAAGTACCTTTAAACAAACATTGCAATTCTATTGTAAATTTACACGAATCAAAAAGATTCTGTCTTATATTTTCTTCCACGATTCTCGTTCGTGATAGTACTGTAGTATTATGTAATAAATAATTGTGTTGTTTGTTTTAAAACTTATTCTTGATACAGGTAAAGGCAGAATTATTTTATTCGGGTAGCGAAATATTTCTAATGGCGCGTGCTGTTTGAGACAGACTATAGTAGTTGAACTAATGTTATGGCTCTGGGGGTATTCGCAACTTTTCGCTCCTCGAGGTATCATTCCCCGTATTGTTGTAGAGTAGTTTTTGGTAGCCGTCTAGCCGAAGACATACATGCTAACCTTGTGAAAAATTATTTGTTTGTAATACATTGTTGAAAATCGTCTATTAGTTTATTTAGCTAAAATGCAAGAAAAAACTTTTCACGAATAGCGTTTCTGGGTGTTGTTACCTACAATGACTCCATTGAACAGCATTCTAATTCTGCTTTCTAATAGAAATTTTAGTTCCAACGACAAAAATGTACGAATGAAATAACAAATGTTTGACAAAAAAAACATGTTTGTGCATAGTTTGTGCAAAACCATCACAACATGATTTTGATAGTAATTTGATAATTTGTGGGTATTCAGTGGCCAAGCTCCCTGGACGAAATGAAGCGTAAAGAGTTACACCGGCAAAGACTTCTCGGATCATTAGGTCAACAAATACGGCTTGAATGTCATCTAACTCTCGTATTCTATCTTTAGTGGTGAAGTCTGCAGGTAGTAAAGGCATTTACCAAATTCCACTTAAACAAAATTTTTCTTTGTATTTGCAGTTTATTCTAAAATTTCCGGATAGAAAATTTGAATGTTGAAAATGTTTTTCACAGACAGGAAAATACTGAGTTACCAAAATGCAGCTGATATGCAAAACCTAACGGTATTGACAAATCACAAAGGAAAAACTGGCAGAATTCAAGTAAATCAAACTTAGCTCGATGAGTTTTTGAGCAATTTTTTCTGCAAGTTCAACTGACAACCCATTTGAGAGACTTTTTAAAGAAACGTTTTTAGGCGGGTGTTAGTTCAAACAAGCTAAGTTCGTCGCGAATTCCTTGACCTGCAAAACTGGCTTGGGGTCAACGAACGAGCAAGAGCCTCCCAGAAATACATCTCCCGAAAGTGTTGAAAAAGGCCTTTCGATCAATCCAGAAGTGATGCAGTCAACATGGTAGAAAGCCCCTTCAGAAATATGACAACTTCTATGTTTAATTTTGTCACGTGACTATTCGCTACTTTTCAAGTGCGCAAGATACTTCCTGCAGAGTACATTTATAGGCATGATGTGAGCGGAGATGGCGTACTGCAAACAAAAACTCACAACCAGTATCCACATCTCAAAATGGCCATTCTATACTGGCAGTGTATCTTACTAACCGCCTTTGCAACGATAATCACAAAAAGTTTTGGCCTGAAACTTCATGAAGATATCTTTTGTACCTGTACGAAACAACCGTATCCTCACAGACCATTTACTGCTATTTGGAACTCACCAACTGGAGGTTGCAATGCTAATTTCTCCGTACCAATCAACCTAAAGAACTGGGACATACTTGCGGACCCGTTACAGCATTGGGACAGTCGATTTGTGACAGTTTTTTATGGTGCACAGCTTGGTCTATATCCTTATTTCAAAACCGAAGACGGAAGCGACTCTTTTAACCAGGGGCTTCCACAGGTGAATTTGATTACATGCTTCGTTGATTTCACTGTTGGTAGCCATGCTTGGGTTTGTTATCAATTTGTAGACTCACTGGCTACATTATCGAAGACTGATTTTGATTAAATTCTTTTAACTTTCTTCAAGTAATGACAGCTCATCCTCCTGCATGCACTATCATTCTTTTGATCTAACACTGTTATTTCAATGGCTGTTATTGATTAATAGATACTTTTTATCACCCTCTTTGAGCAAGCTTGTTTCACTCAAGTGTTGTATTTTTGTCCAGCCTTGTTAATAGTAAGCAGAAAACTTTTGCCTATTTGCGCCTGCAGTTACCTGTCAATATCGTAGATAAACACTACCTCCTAAGAAATCAAAGAACCTAAACATATACAGATTTTGTTTCTTTGGTAAAGCAAGTTTTTATAAAATATTTCAGTCTGACCAATTTTACGGTTTTATTTTAAAATACAAATATCCCTGAACCATTTTTGGCAACAAGATATCAACATTGCAAGTTATGACTGACTTCTTTCGTCAACAAAAAACACGATCTAAATAGGAGCCTGTTGTAGGAACATTTAATAATGTAATTCAAGTATGCACCTTTACGACAAGACCCCAAAACAGCCCGACTCTGAAAAGGCTAGGTTTCTTTTCGCGTGGATTCACTGCATCAGGTAGTCAATTCCTTCAAGCAAGGTTGTCTTTGAGCATCGATGTTGTTTGTCTTGATGTCCAGTGAATAACAAATGGAGCCAAGACTACGCTTATCACTTCCTTCGTCAACAAAAAGACAGCCGCAAATTGCGCTTTTGTATCATTAGTATTTAGACTCTATTTATTTGCAAAACCTACAAAGGCTTGCACATTTTACGAGTCTTTGATTTTGATAAGCTCGTTCCAAAGACCAGTAAAGCATTTTTCTGAATGTTGCTTTTCTCAGAGATTAACTGTCAAATATAAAGGAGCTACTTTAGTATATTCCAAAAGCAGTTATATCAAGTAAATGTTTGTCAGATTTTTATCAGGAATGGAAGCATTAATCCAATGAGTGTAATTTCTACTACGAAATCAATTGAGTTAGAAAACACCTTCGGTTTTTAGAATCATGAGATTCGTAAGAAGAATCGTCATTTTCATATCAACAATTTCATTCAAACTTGTTTATTTTACATATTAAAAGGTTTTAATTAGTTTTGCATTGAAACATTAAACGATCTATGTAAAAAGCCAATTAAGAACCGAAGAGGAATTTCATATTGTAGCTTGTGAATATCAAAGAGCACCTGGAACAAGCGAAAATGGACATAATGTCTCGAATACCTGATCCGAATTATAACGGCCTAGCTGTGATTGATTGGGAGCCTTGGCGCCCACTGTGGGATCGCAATTGGAATTCCAAAGAGATATATAAAGTAAAATCGATTGAGCTGGTGAGAAAACGACATCCGGATTGGCCTATGTCTGATGTTTTAACAGAGGCCAAGGATGAGTTCGAGACTGCCGGAAGAGCAATGTTCCAAGAAACAATCAGACTAGGAAGAAGGCTACGTCCAAGGGCATTATGGGGCTTTTATGGATTTCCGGATTGTTTTGGGCAATTGAAGTACGATTTTCAATGCACAGAGAAGGTGAGTTTTCGTTTTATGAATTGCAAGCGTTATGACCATTGTTGAGTTCATTTCTATATATCGTGAATGATATTTGAGCTCATATGAAAAAACGTCACTTTGTGCTCATGTCAAATAGCCATTTTATTTGCAAGGATTCTATTACATGAAAAGTTTTGATGGTAGATCGTCGATTAATATGCTTCGAGTTCATATTTGCTATTTTTGGAACCCGAGAGTGACTTTTTATTACCGTAAACTTGGTTACCAAACTATACATAGGCTTTTCCTGTAAAACATCAAAACATTTGAGCGGCAACGAGCCATCACAAAATTGAAACAATGTATGTCACAAGATTGTGGTCCTCCACTGACAGCACACAGCCCCCTATTCTTTGCAGATCAATAGTTTTTTATCTTTATACCCAAATGACAAAGTTCGAAAGAATTCGTCAAGTAAAGAATGCCTTGTAATAGTATTTTAGTCCTTGGACACTGAAGCCTCTCGCACCCCAGACATAATTACTTTTACAAGTAAACTGCACGTATTGCCATTAACAACGTAATCATCAAATGAAACTTACAAAGACCCTTTTGGTAACGCTAACGCTTGGTAATGCTGGATGCGAGGGTTCTGAAATAAAGATAGAAATCTATGCATATTGGTCACATTTCGTTATGATAGGAAAAGCATCCAAGACTGTTTCAGCTATTTGATTTCAACTCCAATGATGTGCTTTTCATTTCAATTTGTTCTATACCTCTCTCACTAGAAATATATTTTGATACAGGTAATGTGCAGATACTTTTTTGTCCATATCGAATATTTAAGCTCAACCTGCTTTTCTTTTCAATCCAGGTGAAAAGAAGCAACGACAAAATAGATTGGCTTTTCAGGGAAAGTACAGCGCTTTTTCCATCAATCTACCTCCTAAAAAGGCATTTGGAAAACCCTGCTTATGTGAAGGGTCGCATACGAGAGTCATTTCGAGTGACGCTGCGTTTGGCACAAAGATATGGCAAGGACGTTATCCCAATCTTCCCATATTTTAGGAGCATTTATATGGATGAGCCTTCAGAGTTCAATTTCCTTGACCAGGTAAGAATATTGAAGCTTTAAAAAGGGACGCTTTGACTAGAAGGTAGAGGGAGCTGTTCCCTCCCTTTAATTCAAGATTTATGAAAAAATAGGAAATTTGACAACTTTGTTGAAATCGAAGTAGAAAGAGTAAGCAGTCAGCCTCTTCAACGTCTCATGTGTCGAATAGCCTTCTGTTTGCAAAACCCGCTCTCTTCTTGACATTTTCCTGAACACGACAGGTATTCACAGAACGTTTCAACTTTTTTGTGCCACATTTAAACATGAGCAATAGGAAAAATAATTGCCAAAAGAGTAAAAGAGTTGTTAGTGTGCGGTAGGCTTTGTCGAAGGTTTTCAAATGCCAACTTGCTCTCCAAAAGATCAGGCCAGTGTTGTGAACCGACCAATGACCGAATCTAATACTACTAAACAACATCCTCTATATCAATGTCTTCGTTTTCATTCCCCTTAAACGCCTTAATTTCTTTTTAGAGCGATTTGTATCATACTATTGGTGTTGCTGCTGAAATGGGAGTATCTGGGGTTGTTGTCTGGGGCAACAGAAATGACGAAAACACCTCTCCAGACGTTTGTCACAGAATCAATTCATACGTCCAAACAACGCTTGGACCCTTTATCAAAGAAACAAGATCAGGGGTAAGGGGCTTCACGATTAACTATTTTACACATGATATTGCGGTGTGGTTGAACTGCGTCTCATTCGGCAATAGATTTTCTTTATGGTTGAGTCAGACGCATCTATCATCGGACTTCAGACAAACACGAGGGTCATAATTCATAATTATAATTAATTATAATAATTGTTGGCAATAGTTTTAAGAGGACTGATGCCCCTTCTCTTTCTTCCGGCCTTGGCTTTCTATAGCCCTTGCCAGTGTAGCTTCTGTTTTTCGCACTGTTATGACAGCACTGTTATGACTGTTATGATAACGTGGGCAGATCTGAAAGTGTGATTTAAAACCAGTTGCACTGAATTTAGTCTGTGTAGCTAGATACTCGAGGGGTGAAGCATATCTGTGACTATCCCTGATTGAAACTCGACAAAATCTGTCTTGTTCCAAATTATCCTAATATTAAGACAGTTTTTTGCTCGTTATTATATTTTTGATGTTGTGTCCAAGAGACTATTAACATTGTGACCAAGAACTAAAAATTTTCTAAAGTTTTATTCATCAAAATTTACCTTTAAACCAATACAGATTTGAATGTAAAGATAAAAAGCCCGAAGCAACTGAAAGCTTTATTAACAGTTATGATCTTGTCATGAATTGATATATATGTAGGTTCTATATAGTAGTGTCCTGCATATAAGAAACAACGTTTTAAATGAGATAAACTTTAAATAAGGGAAAAGTTTCTCATTAGAAAATCATGTACTATCGATTAACTACTTAGACCATCGAAGTCTGCGAATCAGCATTGTATATACACTATCTTATCAAAGTATTTGGTTATGTTCTTCAAAGGTTTTAATTTATATATATAGTTTTTTAAATAAGAAACAAGCTTTCTCAGACCAATCAAGTTTTCTTACAAAAATGGGCATAACCTTAAAAATCAGGGTCTGTGTTTCTTAAATTTATGTTTCTTTTATACGGGACACTACTGTATATGTTAGTATTTATAAGGCCTTGCAAGGCTCTTTACAAGGATTACATCATATTTGACGTTTATCAGGCTCTTTGATGAACAGCATTGTTAAAGTGCATATTTTTTGTCTCAGGTTGAAAAATGCTCAAAAGACAGATGTTTCGGGAGAGGCCACTGCGTGTACAAATCTCACCTGAGTAGCGATCTGAAAAGGTTGTATTATTTCAGACATGATTTAACAGCAAACTGTGCCAAGCCGAAGCAGGAAGAACTTTCAAAGCGTGGATCGAGTAAGTATCCTACTGAACAATATTCGCAATACTGTTTCAAGATATTTTTCGGGCTATTTGCATCACAAGAAGCCTATGGCCCGGGGACGAATGTTCAACCGTAAAGTGACTGGGGGAGTTGGCTGGAAAGTTAGAATGTGTTGCAAAAATTGAAGAATTTTATTTTGAATGAAGTCTAGAAGATGTTATTTTCACAATTTTTCATTTTTATCAGCAATTATTATACCAACATAAGAGAAGAATTAGAATATACATTTTCTTGTGTCTTGTGAGCTGTGTCTTGCGCGCGTGTACACTTATAACTTCAACACGTGTATGCTAATACCTTGCACGCGTGTACGCTAATACCTTAACGCTTATGTCTTGTACGCGTGTACGCTAATACCTTGTATGTATGTTTGCTTTTTGCACGTGACTTGACTTGTGCTAATGCGCGCTTATGTCTTTGAGAGGGAAAGGGTTCGTTTGCATACGAAAAAACACCAAAATCTAGCATATTTGATACATGTCTGCGAAACGTTCACTGAAAGTCAGTCTTTGATTGAGTTTTCTAACCGTTCTTCTAGTTCCAAAGCCCAAGGAATCTGCAGGAAAAGCTAGGATGAAAATTTTGGGGAAATTTCTGGACATTGGTACAACTCCTCGACAAAAGATCAGTAACGCATCAAAATCAGCAAATAACTTGAATTCAAGCAAGGAAAATGCACCGTTTGGTATCAGGCCGTCTGATGAAACACTCAATAAGCTGCAAGTTGATCTTGCACAAAACCCAAAAGTCAAGAGTAAAGTCGAAAACAGGTGAGTGACACTAACCTCCTTAAAATGCAACTTCCTCCTTAAGTGATAACCAACCCATTCGTTCAGCCGTATGCAAGACAGCTTAAATATGCCATATCTGAAAAGCAGAACATGGAACAAAAAATTATAAAAGATGATTACAAACAATCATTTGCACCGTTTACAATCACTGCGTAAGACAACCATGGCTCAGAAAATAACCATACAAAGATGGATCTTGTTGCAAGCAAGCCCATTGTGGTCAAAAGATGATATGCAATGCAGATATCTTCGGTCTTGATGGGGAGAAGAGCAAAAGAAAGTCTTCTTATGATTGAGGCAACCCTCCGTCCGGGAGTCAACGAGCAAGAACATGTTACGAAGTCATTATATGCATGCTCTTTAACTCCAGAACGGGGGTTGCCTTACACATTTGAATATTTCATCTCGTTCGTCTCCCTAGCAAGGTCCTTCTATTTGGCAGCTTTGTACATTCTTTACAGTGACTTTTAAGTATCATTTGGCACTCAACAACGCCTGTAGCTGTAGAACGAACATTGGGTGATAGCGTCTTCCTCCATACAGTCAAACAATTTCTAAATTTCTTTTGCGACAAACTAATCTTTTGTGGCATTTGAACGGTGATAACATATTCTTTTTTCAATTCCAGCACGACAAGAGAATTTAATTCGAGACTGAAATCAGAGGTACCACAACCAAATAAACATTTTACTACAAATTTCATCAAAAGTCACGTGAAGAAATCAAAGTTCTCCAAGATTTCACTTCTGCCTCACATGTACGTTTTGATAATCGGAGTCTCCATCGCAGGGGCGTTCCTATTCTCTCTTATCTTCGTCGCCTTATATTATTACTTGAATATGAATCCAGCCGTCAAGGGCTACAAAATGGGACGAGCACCAAACTTTGACTCAAAACCAGCCAAAGCAAAGAAGAACGAGAAAGAACAGACAGAGCCCCAGCCACAAGTACCAGACAACCGTCGAAATCCAAACGAAGAATCTGACATCGAAGTTGACCTGGATTCACTGAAATCTTACGACAGATAATCATTGCTGCATCAGCCATTTAAAAGTAAAATAAAGTCTTTGAAGACTATAACTATTAGCTCTTGATAAACTGCACTGATATTGTGCTAACCAAGGACTACTAGATTAGGAAACAACGGGGCTTCATCACCCCCCCCCCCTCCTCCGAGGACACTCTAAAGCATTTCAAGCAGGGCACATTTTAAGGGAAATAAGTTACCCATATATATTATACCCAGTGTGTGAAAAAAGCTGCAAAACGTCGCTCAATCAAGTATTTTATAGTTCGATACGCTAGTTCTCAATGAGTTGAAAATCCCACGATCTCCACGTTCACGAACCAGTAATATCAGAACGGATTGCAATTACACGTTAGGCGAATAATAGTTCACTTTAAAAGGCATCAAATGCGCTTTATGCTTAAAAAATATCTGCTGCTTTTCCTTGTATTTAGACATATTAGCAGGGGTTATTTGCAATCGTTTTACAATTGTTTTGAAATCGATATGAATGGTATTTATAATGTTGGGTTGTCATGCTACAATTATTCATTAACGTAGAAACTGCCAATATGGGCGAGTTTAGTTTCATATAAAATGCTAGATTTTGAAAGTTTTGATGACTCTGAGTGTTACCAACAAATTTCGAAGGACCTGAAACATTATTCTTGTAAATAAATGTCTTTATCACTCATGTATATATTTTATACTGCATGCTTTATATATTTATTTTATAATTGAATTAAATCATTAACACAGTATAATATGCAAAGCATTACTTTCGTGTCTGTCCGTGTTTGTGTTTTTTTAGAATAACAGATAAAAAAAGCAGCTATGATTGAATTACAAAAGATGAAATATGAATATAATCTTAAAATAAGGTTTCAATAATCCAGGAAAATCTTTGTTCTCCGTAACACCTAAGAAGCGTTGAAACGTGACATAAAATGACGACGATTACCTCATTAGCCTCTCCATTTTCTCCAGTGCATTCCCAACACTATTGTTATAAGTCTTAAGGCTATGTCTGCTAAAAGCTTGTAATACCATGTCTCTATTGGGTTCCACTTTGATATGCGCATTCTATAAAGTACGGAGAGGCTTTTGGTTAGCAGAGAAATAATTACTGAGGGAGAAAGCAAGACTAATGGAACTGCCTGACGAAATGTCGTCTAGGTAGCTACAATCATTGGCAAAAGTACTTGGAGCACCTAGCAATTTGCGTTATGTTTTCATATTTTTCAATTCCTTTCCAAAATACTCTTATTTCCACACCCAAAAACAATGTTGATAATTTAGAAAAAAAATATAACAGAAGTCGCAGAAAAAGCGTTCTTCCTAATCCATTACGTTGTTTTGTAGTAAACCAACATCGTTCAAAGGGGGAAGAGAATGGTTGAATTTTCCCTTGAAACTGACGTTAGTGTGCCAAGACTTTTGGCAAGCATTGTAGGTAAAGGGTAAGGCCTTCGGAGCAATTGTTGAGAGGGGAAAAGTTAGACTGCTTTAATTAATGAAAACTTTCAATTCAATCAAACTACAATTGCAAACCTCTCTATTACATAGGTAGTGTGCAACTGGCTAGCCTGAGTTTACAAGACAGGACTATAACAATCATTTGAGTAAACTAAAGTTTTTCGTCTGACACTCTTCAGAGTTTCAAACGTCAGAATATAGATCGAAAACTCCCTCTATAAAAAACAGCCTTGTTCCGTCTTCTGTGTTTTCCGTGATGAAGACACTCAAAATTTTGGGCGAAATGTTCTGGTTAAAGGTCGTTCAAACATTTGAGAATGTCTCAGAACATTTCATCTAAGAATGACCATTTGCAACGCGTCTATTGTGAACTTCAGCTATTTTACCCCAAAACTCTAGGGGTTCAACTACCTGAAGATGACGCAACTAGTTGAAGAGTGAGGCTAAAGATTGTACATTCTTAGTTCAATTATTGTCAAGAAAGTTTTACAGCAAATGTAGTAAACAGATTGTCGTAAATAACCTTTATAAAACAACACTGTACAAAACATGATGCAATAGCTGTTACCAAAAATGAGCGGCTATGACTAAAATAGAAATAAAAATAGGATCTCTTAGATAAAACTTTTAAAGAACAAGTGACACGCTTTTGGCGCCAAAGTTTTTTATTCTTTTAACTTGAAGTAAAATGCTGTATGAGAGTGTTGTTGAAATATTTTTCCTTTCTGGTTTCATTTTCCTACTTAAAAACCCTTTTCAAATTATGGCGGGAAAGGAATCACGTGACACCGTGACGTAGATTGTGATAATTCCCGGTATGCCCTTGCTTCGAGTTATTTTTTTCAAAAAACTTGAAAACTTTCGAAAGGCAGTTTTCCGATATCTTCACAAACGCCCAAGACCTATGATTAACCAAGACTTATGACTAACGCAAATTAGTTTATTAACTTATGACTAATGCGAATTATTTCAAATGCCTGATATCGAATGGCTGAGAGGGTTCTCCTTTTTGAAGCATTAACTGAGTACAATCCTATGTTCTTTCCATTCAGAATGGTTGTATCTGGATAAGATTATCGATGCGTTGGTAGTTGGGTATGGGAACGTTCACATATTACCTAACCAAAGATGGAGTGAAGGGGTTCACACAAATGTTTACGGTCATAATGATCAATAAATGATGCAAATTAGATGATAATTTAGGGGGAAGAGGATTTTTCCAATGTTGCCAATATTTCGTTATGTAATTTGTGCATGTTCCTTTCTTGAATGATAATGCTCTTTCTAGGGCCTATTTTAGTGTGCAATATTACATATTTTGTTCAGTATTAATTTCGAAAAGGTGCAGTATTGAATTTTGGGATTTGTGAAAATATCTTTTTGCGGCTATCCCAGATTCCTGCTTTGTTCACAAAATGTGAATTTTTCTCGTCACTTCTTTGTTCTCGTATTGAACATTGAGTTCATGTATTGTAATTCTCGTATAACCATCGGAAAAACTCTCTTATCAAAACTTAAAACAAATCGAAATTCCCAAAACCAAAAACAAAACATATCCTGTAAATGTCAGCATTGCTGTAAATTTCGTAATTTGATCTTGTCGAAGATAAAACATTCAGTAATAATTTATCAGTTGCCCTAACATGCTCTGGGCATCTAGCAGAAGCTCACTTAACTTAACTAAAAGAAAGATAAAGAGCCTAATAAAACTTTTTTGTTTTACTGTCCATACAAAACATGAGATAGTGACTCCGTTTACAAGAGATAAATGACTATGTTTCTATTCAGGTTTTGTAGTTTCTGTTTGTTTTGTTGCTGTTTTGAAATGTTATTATTGATTTTGTATATTATCGTCTATCTGTTTGTGATTTCTCAGTCATGGCCTATACATGTGTTCAAAATTCGGGCAATTTCCTAGCTACACTTGCATGGCTAAGATACCTGGGGTTTGCAGGGGTTTGCACTGATTGCAACAAAACAAATTCCTATAAAAAAATGATTACAAATGTGCAGTATTGAAAATTTCTTAAAAATGTGCAGAATTGAAAATTTCTTGAAATAGGCCCTGGCTCTTTCCTTGTCCCATCAAATATCCCTTAATAGTTAAGTCTGCTCTAGGAATGATAAAGGATACAATTTTTTAAACGTCCTGTGACAGGCTATTTAATTTTGCATTTCAACTAAGAACTCAAAGGCATCTTGATTTTGTATTTGAAGCGCTATAACTTCTACGTTTTGTACTAAAAAGAAATTCTGTCCAACTTTATTCAAAAGTCGTGTCTAGTGACAAACGGGGCTTTTTATCCCCTGACTAATGACCAGCCGCCCCCCCCCCTCTTCTTGTTTGGAACTTGGCAGAAACACCTCAACCTGGAATTCTACAGAAAAAGCCTGGAAAATATGAAACTCCAGTGGCGGACTGGCAGGGATGCTATGTTGCGATCGCAACCCGGGCCCTCTCAACTTCATAATAACCGGGCCCTACGGAGGTAAATTCGAGCAAATAACTCTGTTAATTTCAAAGATATCTATGTTCAAGAGAATACAAGTCACAAAAATGAAGATGAAATCCTTAGAAAGAAAACATTTCAGTATTGCTTACCAGGGGCGTTGTGGCTAGGCGGGACACCGGGAAATTTCTCGGTGGGCCCCTTTCAAGTGAGTTTGTAAAACCCAGGAAAATATCTAATATGAACAAAATCTTTGGTGAGAAAACACCGCACTTACATGTATACTCAAGTTCACAGTTCAGAATTAGAGGAGGTCGACATTTACAAACAGGCAACTGTGAAAGAGATGCGTGGAATATGAACAGAGCTTCCGAGAGGAGGACAAGAAGGGGCAAACTGTCCCAGAGCCTCGAGGTCTAGGGGTCCTCTTAAAGCAAGGAAATCCAATTTAAGAACTGAATTTTAACGAAACGCAAAAAAGTATGCCTAAAAATTTGTATAAGGAGGTAAACGAATGTAAAAAACATTCTGAAACGTGTTTCAAGCTAGTTTAAAGGGCAAGGCCGAACAAATTTTCTGCTCGCTTCGCTCGCAGTGCACATAGGTCGTCTTCTTTTGCATTTTTGTTAGTATCAACTGTGCACTACAGCATTGGATTTGTTCCTCATTTTTTGCAGTCTTAAAGAGACTATAGTTAGAGAAAAGGGGCTACACCCCAGCAAATATAGCAGATGAACCTTTAAAAATGATAAAAACTGCCATCTTTTTAATATTTTATAGGTGCATGGTTTCCAGGTAACATATCATTTTTGGTGACTTGGGTTTTGAATGGAGGTATTCATAACCAAGAGTGGGCCCCCTTATGATAATTTTTCCCCGGCCCTTTTCTAGGAACCACAACGCCCCTGTTGGCTTTCATTTATACGAAGTATACGGGCCCCTCTGTATCATAAGCAACCCGAGAGGTTTGTCCAGTCCACTTCTTGTTGAAAACTCCTACAATATTTATGAAGATGAAGCCATTATGTTTTGAAAATAACTTATTAAAGTATTCCAATCATTTCCTCAAACTTAAAATATTTTTGTTATTTCTGAATAAATATCTGTGTTTTTCTAGATAGTTCTTTGTCCTTTTTACCCTGTCTTCTTAAAGGCAGGGTTTACACGATCGTTTTCCTTAAATTTTTTTTGGATATTGGCCGCGATGAATGACAACGATCGTGTAAAAGGCTAAATTGCTTGAAAAAGTTTGATGCTATTGTTCGTTTTTAATTCCGCTTTAGATTGGCGGGATTATATGATCCATCGATTTGAGAGATTTATCTTTGACTCCGGTTGTCAAAATAAAATCTCTACCATCATTTTTTCAAAGGGGCCGACAAATTCGAACGTCATGTCAGCCCCGGGGAGAGAATTTTCGAAGACTTTTTACTAAGTATTCGCAGTGAAGAAAAGATTGGATTCATCTGCTCTGAGAACTAAATAGTCGGGGAGGTAGTTAAAACGGGCAGGGGACTATTTTTAGATAAAAGGAGGTTCGGGTTTCACAAGTTTCCTTTGGAATGGCCCGTCCTTAGCTACACATTAAATGATCTGGACTAGGGGCGGATTCAGACGTTGGCACCGGTGGCGACGTGCGCGGTCAGATTTCCAATTAATTTTGGGAAATGATGGGACTGTTCTAAGTTTTCCCGATATGGTCCTTTCTGCTTCTAACAATTCCTCTTCGCTCCAGGTTATCTTACCACGCCCCCTCCCGCTGTTAATTTAGTAGTACGCCATGTTGGATTTGCTTTTATTGTTTTTGCCCTTTTGTTAACCACAGAATTAATTTGGCTCTTTATCCAAATATGGATAGAAACAATCCGTTGCCACACTAGATATAAATAGAAATATTGCGCACACATTTTTAAACAAATAGTTTTGCGAGACCAATGGTTGTGCTTTATGTTCTTGGCCACAGGTCGAGGCTCTGTATGCTTATTCTGTTGAGAGCAGTGGCGGCTATGAACTGACCTCTCAGATACATTACAAGTTTCTGTGACTTTCACAGTTGGGATGAGGGCAGACCTCAATATTGCAATAACTCGATTAGAAAGGTCGGTTTTGCACACTTTTACGTATTTTCATAGGCCTCGATGTGATCGTCATGGAAAGCACTAATACCTAGATGTGGTTGTTGTTTAGCGATTGG